AACATCGCGTGGCGATCGGGGGCGGTGCCAATGGAGTGGCAGACAGGGGTGGTGGTTCCTCTCTACAAGAAGGGGGACCGGAGGGTGTGTTCCAATTATCGTGGGATCACACTCCTCAGCCTCCCTGGTAAGGTTTACTCCAAGGTACTGGAGAGGAGGTTACGGCCGATGGTCGAATCTCGGATTCAGGAGGAGCAGTGTGGTTTTCGTCCCGGCCGTGGAACACTGGACCAGCTCTACACTCTCCATCGGATACTCGAGGGTTCATGGGAGTTCGCCCAACCTGTCCACCTTTGTGGATTTGGAGAAGGCGTTCGACCGTGTTCCCCGGGGTGTCCTTTGGGGGGTCCTCCGTGAGTACGGGGTCCGGGGTCCTCTGCTGAGGGCCGTCCGGTCCCTGTATGACCGGAGCCAGAGCTGCGTGCGCATTGCCGGCAGTAAGTCAGACCTGTTCCCTGTGCACGTTGGCCTACGCCAGGGCTGCCCTTTGTCACCGGTTCTGTTCACTGTATTCATGGACAGAATTTCTAGGCGCAGCCAAGGGTCGGAGGGGGTCCGGTTCGGGGACCACAGGATTTCATCTCTGCTGTTTGCAGACGATGTTGTCCTGTTGGCTCCAACGAACCAGGACCTACAACATGCACTGGGACGGTTTGCAGCCGAGTGTGAAGCGGCTGGGATGAGAATCAGCACCTCCAAATCTGAGGCCATGGTGCTCGACCGGAAAAAGGTGCCCTGCCCTCTTCAGGTGGGTGGAGAGGCCCTTCCTCAAGTGGAGGAGTTCAAGTATCTCGGGGTCTTGTTCACGAGTGAGGGAAGGATGGAGCGTGAGATTGACAGGCGGATCGGTGCAGCGTGCGCAGTGATGCGGTCGCTGTATCGGACCGTTGTGGTGAAGAGGGAGCTGAGCCGAAAGGCAAAGCTCTCAATTTACCGGTCAATCTTCGTTCCCTCCCTCACCTATGGTCATGAGCTTTGGGTAATGACCGAAAGAACAAGATCGCGGATACAAGCGGTCGAAATGAGCTTCCTCCGCAGAGTGGCTGGGCGCTCCCTTAGAGATAGGGTGAGGAGCTCAGTCACACGGGAGGAGCTCGGAGTAGAGCCGCTGCTACTCCACGTCGAGAGGAACCAGTTGAGGTGGCTCGGGCATCTGTTCCGGATGCCTCCTGGACGCCTCCCTGGGGAGGTGTTCCGGGCACGTCCCACCGGGAGGAGGCCCCGGGGAAGACCCAGGACACGCTGGAGGGACTATGTCTCTCAGCTGGCCTGGGAACGCCTTGGAGTCCCCCCGGACGAGCTGGAGGAGGTGTGTGTGGATAGGGAAGTCTGGAGGTCTCTGCTTAGACTGCTGCCCCCGCGACCCGGCAACGGATGAAGCGGAAGAAAATGGATGGATGGATAAAAACACATTGGGATTGGTCCATAAAAGGTAGATGACCGATGTCTATAAATGTCACGAGATGGAAAGGAGGAGGACCCAAAAATGCAACAAATTCATAGCAAGGAACCAGGGACAGGACAGACATGGACAGAACTTGACAATACAACGGACCAGCAACAAAGGGAGAGGAGCACATGGTACATATAGACATAGACACTTCAGGACTGGGCAGACCATCAAGAACAGGGGAACAGGACAGGAGTCAAACTGAAATGAAACCACAGCAAATCAATGTCAAAATAAAACCCAATACAGAAATAAAATTACACCATGACAATAATGTTGATAAATGTCCATGAATGTTGAGAGTCCTGGATCATCACTCCTTCATCGGAAAAAGGAAAACTCTAAAACCCAGTGGGAAAAGGTGAGAAACCTCGGGGAAGCCCACAGAGGTACACAGGAGCAATAAGGGAGACTTATGGGTGATTTTAAAGAAGTTCCAAAATAAGTCGGCCCGCTTTACCATGTTTAGTGGTCCTTGAAATGATTTTTTATCAATTACTATTACTGTTAACTTGCAGTGTTGATGGGGAGGTTTATATGAGCTACCATGGCCTGTCATACCTCATTATAAAGGTCATTTTAAGAATGCAAGTTATGAGTTGTTAATTTCGAACTAGATATCTTTAGCCAATCTATCTAACTATGACCCAGTTTCGGTTCAGAGAATTACACCAGAAAATACTATCAAAACACAGGTTAAATTTAAGTAATCCCTCCTTCAAAATACCTTCAAAATGTAAAAAACGCAAGATGCAAGGAGCTTCATATACTTTTATACTTTCGGCCCCTGCAACCGCGCATGTGTTCTGTTCTGTTCCACTCTGGAGGCTGTTTCTCAACACAGTCTTCATGTTAAAGGACAATCTGATCCCCAACCTAATGTCGCAGTGTCCTTGTGTAAACGGCACATTATTCTGGTGGATAAACAGCAGTAGTGGAATAGCTGTTTGTTTATATTTAATGGGTTTGAATTAGTGAATTATTAAACCACCAAACATCACAACTGTAAAACAAGTCGTCTTAAACCTGTTCCACTGACAAATCTCATTTGAACATTGCCATATTTTTATTCTTTAAGTTCTTAATAATTTGCCTTAAATTTAGCTAAACAAATCAAAATTGAGGACTTCACAGAGCAAATCAAAAAAACACTGTAGGAGGTCCCTGTTTTTTTAGAATTACTATTAATATATCTGTATATGTATCATAGACTGTAAATATATAAACGCATGTCTTAAGTGCACTTTTCCAAACAAGGACGGTATAAAAACTAAATATTGTGTTTTTACCCCATATTGAGGAACAGCTGGATCAGATTTGAAAGAACTGGCCTCTCCTCGAACTGTTCTTGGTCTTTGTCAACAGACCATCACAACAGCGGCTCTATTCCGAGTGTGATGACGTTCATGGCTTATATGTAAATGATTAGTGGACGTTTTTTATTCAGCTCAGCCATTGTGCATTAGGGTACAACAAACTAAACACTGCAAACCCTAACTTCAATCGTACTTCAGATATCAAAGTTATTTTAAATAGATTTTTCCCAGTAAGTGAATATTACTCATTTATTGTTAGTTGATTTAAAGCTTGGCGATATCACTCAGGGTTTTCTTTGAATTGAACTCTCTCTGTTCAAGTAAGCCTCACTTTTGACATTTTGACGTGTAGACTCTTAAATGAGACAGGTGTGAAATGTGGTAAGGCAGCACGGTGGCTGAGTGGGTAGCACCTTCACCTCTCAACTTCAAGATTGTGAGTTTGACTCCTGGTCGGAGCAAAATTTAAACTTTATTGCAATCGCTTGAGTTACTTGGTAATATCAAGTAAAGGATGTACTCGAGTAATTAAAGTGAAGTTAATAATCAATTTATTTCCAAGGTTTTTCAAGTAAACTTTACTTGTTAGGGTTTACAGTGGCAAAACAAAAATATCTGCATGTTTTAAAGATATTTTTAAGACATGTCATATTGAATATATTGAAAATTGAAGATTCAAGTACATCAAATTCTCCTGTGGACCCAGTGAGGAGCTGGTGCTATGGAATGATTGGATGTGTTTACTATTTGATGTGTGGCCATAACATAGAGCTTTGTGATGGTAGCTTTAATGACACTCTACTTTTAGCTCGTGCCACAACCCTCCTCCTCCCCACCACAACATTGGTCAGTCCCAGTCACCACCTCATCACTTCACAGACATATCTGCTGATCATCTGGTTTTGAATCATTCAAACACGGCTCATTTTGTCCATCCATCCATCCATTTTCTTCCCCTTAATCCATTTCTGGGTGGGGGGGTGGCAGTCAGAGCTGCACCCAGTCACAGAGCACCAGCCCCTCACTGATCCTCCTGCAGGTGGTGAGTCCACAGGAGCTGAGATCTTTCAGTGGGAGCTTCAGGCAAAGTGGGGTCAAGTGTCTTGCCCAAGGACACAACGACAGCAGTCATCAGTGGGATTCATGAAGTAGGTCTTGCGGTGGGCTCGAACCCACGACCTTCAGGCTGAAAGGCCAATGCTCTACCAACTGAGCTACTGTCGCCCTCATGCTTGCCCTTGCTCATTTTGTCTTCACTCTTAATTCAGCTCGTGCCACAACCCTCATCCTCCCGATCACCAGTCATCAGCTCATCACTTCACATATCTAGTGATCTAGTGCAAGAATCCAGTTCAGACTTGTTTTTACTTTGGACAAAATAAAAAATATGTAAAAAAAAATGGTTGACAATTTGTTTTCCGAGCAAAAAATAAAAGTAAAATGCATGTTTAGTGTGATAACATGATACCCACTGCTCAATCACTTTGCATAATAAAATCGTACCTAATCAATTAAAACCCATTCACTTCCTTAAGGCATATAAGGTACTTTCTATAAGTCAAATGTGAAGAAGCTAAGTCCCTTTTTAATTCAATCACTTCCTCATGACCCATGTGTTTGCTGGAGAATCAGAGCATTACCTTTATAAAATCATATATATTAGAGTAATAATAAAGTCTCCTGCTCCACATGGCTCATCTCCAAAACAAAACCAACATATGTCTATAATATCAGTAGAAAATCAGTGACTCCAATGCTTTAACATGCGAGAGTTTATTTTGAATGTCATGGCACCGTAAAACAGAAGTGGCATCTGATGTTATTCTATAAAGTACACAAGATTAAGGCAATGTTCTTCTTAGAAACAACAAAAAAACTGGGTTAAAGAACAAATATTATGCATTTGTTGTGGTCATTTTGGCCCTTAGACACGATCTGAGAACTTGTACTTTGGCATCCAATGTTATCCCATGTTATTGGAACTGGAGACGATTAATGAGCTTAAAACAGATGTATGTTTTTTGAGGGAACAATTTAGTAACATGGTAAGGACTGGGGGGGGGTTCAGTTTTGCATAATACATGTCCTTTAAATAACAATAAAATAACGTTGAATAAATATACATATTACACAACACGTCTGTTATAAAGTGTGGTATGGTTTGGTGGTTGAATGCTGTAGATGTATTTACAGGAGAGAGAGAGAGGGCGGTCCCTGTTCTGGGGCCCGGGGCCTCACTCCACTGAGCAGAAGTTGTCCAGGCTGTTCTCCGAGGCTTTGGGCATCTGCTCCCGGTCCAGGAGCCGGTACTGAAACGAGACTCGGTTCACGTAGTTCCCACTGGAAACTAACCGCACCACAGAGTTATCACAGCCGATCTTCATCTGAGCTGGAGAGAGAGAGGGGGAGAGAGAGGGGGAGAGAGAGGGGGAGAGAGAGGGGGAGAGGGAGAGGGAGAGAGAGAGGGGGAGAGAGAGGGGGAGAGAGAGAGGGGGAGGGGGTGGTGAGAGAGGGAGAAAAAGAGCAGTAGAGGGAGAGGGGGAGAGAGGGAGAGAGGGAAAGGGAGAGAGGGAGAGAGGGAAAGGGAGAGAGAAGTACAGTAGAGGGAGAGGGAGAGAGGGAGAGAGAGAGGGAGAGCGAGAGAGAGGGAGAGAGAGAGACAGAGGAAGAGAGAGAGAGAGAGACACACAGAGACAGAGAGAGAAAGAGAGAGGGAGAGCGAGAGAGAAAAAAAGAGAGAGAGAGAAATAAAGAAAGAGAGAGGGAGAGAGGCACAGGTCACAAAGGTTACTATTCAAGATTTGTTTATTAAGTCTTGGACAAACAATAGGGCTGCAAACAGGTGGAATATATCTAGTAAGATAAAATAAAAGTTTCCGGTAAATTTTCATGACAAGTTTTTGGAAATATACAATAACTGTGAATAAATTGTAATGAAATGAACAGATTTATTTGTAATTAATGCCATAACATCATTAAAGCTCACTCAACAGTCTTGTGCTCAAAAGGGTTTCCAGGCTTGTGAATCTTCTGTTCATGTGATGGAAGCGCAGGACCAGTAGGGGGCGCTATCTCAGCGGCAGTGTGCTGTGTGTGTCTGTGATTGAGGAATAATATGGATAATCACGTGTATTTGAATAGCATCTGATGGTTTTAGTCAGGATTATGCTAAAATAGACTATATTTAAGTTCCCTATGGAGAGCCAACCTTCAGTTTGTAAATTTCCCAGTTAATTCCCGTTAATTCCCGTTAATTCCCACGGAAAGTTTCAATCCGTGAAAACTACATACAACACATTACAGTCACACAGATGTAGACCTCTCGATGGCCTGCCTTTAGGTTCACAGATACAGGACCAAGTTCTTATTCTGCTTTCTGCTGCCCCTCCCTGCACTCACGGAGCTATCACCCCCCACTACCCCCCTCCTCTCAGCCTGTTCTCTTGTGCTTATTGTATTTTGGCTGTTTTGCTGAGTAAGCAGTAACCGGTAACGAAGACACGGGAAGCTTCAGGTTAGCCTCCACCGCTTGTTTACCTCAGCTGTCTGTGCTAACCATAGACTGTATATATTAACGGACAGAGTCACGCCTATCTCCGCCGTTCAAACAAATGGGCCAAAAAATGTGCTCTACTGGAGCTATCCAAAATGGCCGCGAGTGGTCCTGCCCACAAGAAAATTGTGAAAAAACACATCTGCGCATGCGTCAGCCGCCACAAGCCCCATTTATTTGAACGAGAGACTTAAAAAATCCACAGCAAGTAAACTAGAGTGGACCAAAAAATCCACCAGCTTTGGACCAAGAGCCAACTTTTGGACCATCCTGTAAAGACGTTTTCGAGAGGTCTGCCAAAGCTATATGTTAGCATTGGCTAATTCTTCTTCTGGGTCCACCCCCATCGGCCCGGGGTGGTATTGCAATCATGTCAGCGCACGTCAATTTGGCCACTTTTGAGCCAGGATCCACCCCCACTGGTGCTAACGAGAGACCTGTAGCTTTTCTCAAGAAAGTGGGGGCCAGAGGTCGGCTGTGATTGGTCACGATCTGGTCCCGAAATGAATTATCTTAATTGTACTTTTTCTTCAAAAGGACGTATATCCCAATCCACTGCATGGATATGGATTGAATTTTCGTAATGAATAAATAAATAAAGTGAGGTAATGCAGCTTTAAGGATCTTTTTCTATTTTTTGTTGTGACCCTGCAGTGGGGCCAGATGGGAGAGGCTCATTCTGGGAGTAAAGAACAAGATGTGATTTTCTCAGACCCCTCACATCTAAGACCAGTTTCCTCAAATAGATATATTGATGGATGCTTGCTGGCTCCCATTACTATAGAGTTATTATACAGACTATGTGCTTTGATTGTGTGCTGAGCATGAATGTCAAAAAAGGCCATCTGTTTTTTTTTATTATCTTCAAAATGAGCTTGGATAAAAAAGTGAAGAGCAGGATCTGATCTTTGGAGCTCAGAGGGATGGAGAGAATAAATATGATAAATCACTCTGAACTTCGAACGTATGAATCTCAAACAACAAAAGAGATGGGTTAAACATATTGATTAACTTTGCAATTTGCATATGGATCCTGTTTAAACACAAGAGAAGTTTGAAATGTAAACCGGAACAATACAATTTTTACTTTTGAGTTTATTTGACAGATGTGGAGGGAGGAGCAGCGGCTATACTCCAAGCTCATAACTTCCGTCGATATAGGGGCTTTGCTGCTGTCTGTACGTGTCTCGATCATTACTCGATTACTCCACTGAAGATTGTAGAGGAGAGTTTCTGGGTTTAACTCTGTCTAATAATCTGAAATGGGACAAAGGTTGTTAAGAAGGACTCCAGGACTCCCTTGAAAAAGAGTTTCTTGATCTCAATGGGACTTTCCTGGTTACCTCTTGTTACTTACTTAAGTATTATTTTAATGCTATTATCTATTATCTTAAATAATGGACTATGTTTTTATGTGCTTTTATTTCCTTTTTTTCTCTGCTGTAATGTGCGCAACTCTGACACTGAAATTTCCCCACTGTGGGATGAATGAAGGAATATCTTATCTTAAATAAAGGTTAAATAAATACACATAAATAAAACTTTGGTAAGATCTGCTTAACTTTTATCGATGCACCACTGAAGGTTTACTTGTGACTATGGTTCGGTGACATCAAAAAAAGGAGATCGCTCTGCAAGAGGACTGTGAGCTGTGAGCTGCCTGTTCTGGAGGTTCTTCATTAAATCACGCTCTTAGAATCATAATTGACTCCTCTGGCCTCTGGAAAAGCCATGTTCTAGCTTCTTCTCTTTAGCAGAAGATATTGTTATGTAGCTTCTTTCCACAGGCTGTTATCGAAGCATTGAAATGATCTTGCACTTTAATGCACGTTATTTAAACTGTTTTCTAAATGGTTTTCACAGTGGCAATTGTATGTTTTATTTTATACATTTATCTGGTGCACACTGGGGTATTTAAACGCATGTATTCCAATGGGCTTTGAGGCCAGTTGCCAATAATCTGAATCTGGCCTCGGTAAATCTCATACGATTGACCGGTGACACCAGGATTGTGACGTTTCAAAACAAACATTTTAAGCCTGACACAGTGAGTCTGACACCAGCAGTTACTGAGGTACAGCTGCAAAACTCTCCAAAGAAAATGAACTGGATCCAAACTCCAGGGAGGTGGTGGATCCTGCCCCCTGCTCTGACGATTGAAAACCAACAGCGCAGACTTCTCAACGTTACATTTAGTGATAAGCCTCTAGTCACACGTAGAGTAGATTCATGCGCTTCTTTGGACGTCATGAGTAGAGTTGGATCTTACCCAGTCCGCTGAGGGAGAAGCAGAGGTCAGCCACAGGGAACATACGAGACGTGTCCACTCCGTTTCCTCCCAACAGCTCCACATAGTCACCGGAGCCGGAGCACCCGGACCACACCCTCTGCGCACATCACAGGTCCTTCATCAAACTCTGCTTTTGCTTTATTAGAAAGACTGTTTCACAACTTTGGCTGAAACAGAGGATTCCATTGTACATGACGTCGAGAAGAGCCAAACTTCCACTACGAATATGCCAAAACAATCAATGGAATCTGAACCGAGTGTAGCCCTTCGGTTATTTACACAATAATGTAGGTCATCGTGTGTGTTTTCGTCTCTTGTTGCCAGTGGAATTGTAATTGTCCAGCGTTGATTTAAAGTGGCCCCAACAGACAGTTTTAAAAACACAAAACAATAAAACTTATCAATCGTTATATAGCTCCAGAGGGGAGGAGTATGTTGTATATGTTTTAGTGATAGGTTAAACCAGAGAACCAGGAGAGCCCCTATTCATACACAGATAGAACATGCAAACCATTCTCAGAGTCACCTCAAAGATGAGGGAGTCTTTCAGAGACCACCGGGAGTGAGAGGAGAAGGACCTATGGAGCTGTAATTATATAACCACAATCCAACCCACTTTTATTAGTTCTAAATATTACTAAATAAAAACAATAATTTATTTGAATTCTAAACGACTATTGTGTTGATAACCAAGTTTACATTGGATTTTTAAAATGTTCCCAAGCCTGTGTTATTAAAGGCCTTTCTTCTTTTGCCGCATGGAAGATCTCGGCCTTGGTCTTTTTGAGACAAATAAACCTGGAAATATGTTTCCTCCAACCCATGAATAATTTGTGATGTTCATCTTGGCTGCTTATTTTGTTTCCAAAGTCAAGGGGAGAAGGCAACTGTCCAGGTCACTTCCTGGCCACTGTATAAAGTTTATTCTGTTTGTACAATAAACATAGATCTACTGTTACAATGGTTTGCTGAGATTTGAATCTATTTTAAGTTTTACAAAGAGCAGAGAGGAAATGCCCAAACCTGCCTCCTCTGAGAGCTCAGTCCTGCAGATCAGCGAGCCTCCCTGTTCTCTTGTACTTCATAACACGTTTGCCTTGAATGGGACGACTCTTGGCCCGCTCCCTTGGATACCTGCCTCTAACATTTGAGCATAAATGCCAGAGCATTGTGTTAGTGCTCTTTATCATAATGTCAGCTGTCTGGCAGAGCGTGTGCAGCAGCTGCCAACAGGACTCTCTCTGCTCTGGACGCTTCATCAACACCGGCCTTTGTGTTCTGTGCCACAGACGCACAGCTGCTGTTGAGGAGCAGAATAGAACTGTAGACGAGAGCTTTGGGCCAACAATTATTGAGGATTGTTAGAGCGATGGTCTTTAACGCGAGCAAAACAGATTGATTAGACACGCTGGAATGAAGTGGTTCATGTTGGTGGAAAGTCAATCGTTTCATGGTTATTTACAGCTATTTCAAATCATATACTGTAATAGAGTACAGTACGGACGCTAATGAAAAAGTAACATAAAGTAAAGCTGTCAGAGAAACGAGACGTCCTTGAGATGCAGGACTTCTTTCCACAATCTGTGAATCAGTTTGAACAAAGCACTTTAATGACCTCGCACTTGTTTTGTTTATGGATTTCACAGTGACTATTGTTTCCTGCACTTCTATTCCTGTACTTTTAGATGGGTTTTATTTATGTACTTGTCTGGTGCACACAGAGGACTTTTGCACATGTATTCCAATATGGTTTTATTGGAAATGGCAAATAAAATGAATCTGAATGTAAAGGAAGTGAATGTTTCCACAGAGGTCACGCCTGGACTCTGCAGGTGAAGCAGTGACACGTGCTCGCACTGAACAGACACATGTTCGTGTTTGTGCTTGAGTGAGTCTCACCTGTGGGATGAGCTCATTGCTCTTGGCCTGCCCCAGGCTCAGCTCTGTCAATCGGATCTCCACAGGGTAGATGATGGAGAAGCTGCAGTTCCTGCGCTGATGTGGCATCACCATGGTGAAGCTGCCCTCGGGGCTCTGAGACATGATGTTACAGGCTGCACACACACAAAGGAGGCCACTCACACACACTGCACATCCACACCAGCGGCTCAAATTACACTAATCACAAGTGACTGTGGGGGACGCACAATTAGCACTGAGCATGAAAACCCAAGTGCAGTTCAGACGCGTGAGGAATAACTGAAGACAATAAAGTTATAGTGACAGAACAAATATTCATGAAGTAATGCTCATTTTTACACTTTTATGAAATGTCAATCACAGCATCCGCATTAACACTAGAGCTCCCAAAGCAGTCAAAGTGACGGGTTTTCAGTTTCGGAAGCGTTAAACCTCAGTGTAGGTCCATTGTGCTCTTCATGACTTTTTCACTTTTTGCGTCTTTAGGAAGTTTATTTCTGTCATTATTTTGTATTTATATTTCTAATGTGAGGAGTTCTACCTTTAACTCCCAGAGCAGTCATTATGACTCTGTTTCAAGAAGTCATTTTGATAGTGTTTTACCATAGCATCAAACTGTTTACTGTCAGCAGTTAGCATTTATAATTACAACTGTTATCATTACAGCTATGTCCACCAGTTTTTACCCTTTGTTAAGTGATTAAAGGTAGGGACAAAATTACAACGTAAAACTAACATGCTTCTTTGGAGACGTTTTCCAAACTCAATTGATTTGAATGGTAACCTTCAAAATGACTACTCAGGGAGAAAGCAGGGTTTTTTAATTACAGGCCTCTAATAATGAGCATCTCAACCTATAAAATGGTTGAGATGCTAAAATTGCCAAAACCCAGTGATGAGGTGCAACAATGAGGGAGATTTCAGTTCAGAGCTTCTTATTGTGACTCAAAAAGTGATCCACCAAATGTTTGAGCAAACCAGAGTTAAATAAATACTGTGTAGTATTATCCTTGAACAAACAACAAACCAGTTTTGGAAACTAGCTCTCTGTGGTTTTCACTGTACTTCATATTTGTCTTTGGTATCTCTGAAGCTGAGCGAGCAGCTGCTGATGCCTCTGATGCCTCTGCGGCTCCTGCTGATGCCTCTGCTGCTGCTGATGCCTCTGCTGCTGCTGATGCCTCTGATGCCTCTGCGGCTCCTGCTGATGCCTCTGCTGCCTCTGCTGCTGCTGCTGCTGCTGCTGCTGATGCCTCTGCTGCTGCTGCTGCTGCTGCTGCTGCTGCTGCTGCTGCTGATGCCTCTGCTGCTGCTGATGCCTCTGATGCCTCTGCGGCTCCTGCTGATGCCTCTGCTGCTGCTGCTGCCTCTGCTGCCGCCCCACACCGTGTCTTCCCCGTGTCCAGGCCGTGTTTGTGAAGCGGCTGGAAAACAGGTGCACGTCTCCATTCGATCTGCTGATTATCGCTAATTATCGCTTGACCAACGACGCAAACGCGAAAAGAACAGGAGGCGAGAGAAAGAGTCAGGAGCAGGAGGATGAAGGCTGTGCAGAGAGAAAGAGTCAGGAGCAGGAGGATGAAGGCTGTGCAGAGAGAAAGAGTCAGGAGCAGGAGGATGAAGGCTGTGCAGAGAGAAAGAGTCAGGAGCAGAAGGATGAAGGCTGTGCAGAGAGAAAGAGTCAGGAGCAGGAGGATGAAGGCTGTGCAGAGAGAAAGAGTCAGGAGCAGGAGGATGAAGGCTGTGCAGAGAGAAAGAGTCAGGAGCAGGAGGATGAAGGCTGTGCAGAGAGAAAGAGTCAGGAGCAGAAGGATGAAGGCTGTGCAGAGAGAAAGAGTCAGGAGCAGGAGGATGAAGGCTGTGCAGAGGCTACAGCAGCTTTACTGAGGGTTTAACTTATTTATCTGCTTATCTATCGGTTTCATTTGTGGACAGAAACATGGCATTCTTCAGCGTATCAACATGAGGGTTTCCTCCAGAGGATATCACCCTTAAATTTTTTGATTCCCTATTTTTTTGACATGTACAAGTCCCACATCATAAAGAGATTAACATTATTTTAATTGGGGTACATGTGCTCTCAAATGATTCTGTTTACAAATAAGCTTTAATCTGCAAATAACAGCTTGTTTTAGCCTTTAGCCGCTTTTGGGCAATCTGTCATAGAATAAATCATATATAGTTGAATCCAAAACATGTCTCGCACGGACTCGAACCCCGACGGCTGGGGTGCCAGCGCTATGACTTAAGAACGCACTCAACGTAGCAAGTTCTGCATCACGGAAAGTTTTTATCCGCCTTTAATTGTCTTCATTATTGAAAGGCGTCCCGATATAAATCCTCGTTTTAGTCTTTGTTTTGTCATTAATGATTTGAGTGTAATAACAAGACTTTTTTAGTTCTGTGCCACATGTTATTTTACCTCTGAGATTAGCTAGCCGCGCGGAGTTCTGGCAACCCAGACCTCTGACTTCCTGATTGGTGAAACGGCAGAGGGTGGGACATCTAAATGAAAACAATAACAACTTTTACTTTGATATTCAAATATCTCGGCTGAACTACTGTTATCAGTTAAAGATGTATTAGAAAAGAGCATGATTTAATAACGCCTTTTGAAATATTGGGGCCATTTAATGATGACTTGACATATACTATTTTAATCATTTACAAAACACATAATTTCAAAGACGAACGGTCGAGCTCTGTCTTAAAACTGGTTTAATTTGAGTTTAATTTATTACTGATTTCTTTTATTCATATTTTTTATAAGATAAGATAAGATTGCTTTATTTATCTCACAGAGGAGAAATTTACATGTCACATTTGGCATGGATAGAACACTCAGATTGTGCAAAGTTTCATGTGATTTCATTGTTGTTACTTTGATGGTTTCCTTGAACATGTGGATGTTTGTAGAGATTTAATTTTATATTCATGGCCTCCACAGTGTTATCGCTAATATGCCAGGAAATGTTTCTGGTTCTGGCAAAGAGGAGAGAGAAGTGTTTATCTGCCTTCTTCTCTACTTCATTAATCACGACCGATCTAATTCTAGTAAATTAGTTTTTGGAAAGGCAAAAATTAAAATGTATATAAAATGGCAGTTTATTGAAAAACTCCTTTGTCTCAAGTCCCAGCTTTGTTTTTGTCTCATCTATTCAAAAATCCACTATTGGCAGGATTTGTGATTAAAATAACACATCAATTCATAAAATATTCATAAACCAACTATTATATATATACTATTTTATCATTTATCATTGACCTTTATTTAACCAGGAACGTCCCAAAGAGATTTGTCTTTTGTCTTTTTTATGGGAGTCCTAGCCCAGAGAAGAGGAAGATATGGTGGACATAATTGTACTTGATTTTAGTGGTAGAGGGAAACTGGAGCAGGCCCGAAAGGAAACTCCGTAGGCACAGCCCGGAGAAAGCGAAGCACCTGGAGGAAACCGAGCACCCGGAGGAAGCGAAGCACCTTTTGGGATGAAACCGTACTACTCTCCCCAATGGGTCCGCGCAAGGACTAGAGAACAATCGCCACAAGCGAGCAAGGCGAAAGAACCGGAAGGACACCGTGTAGGCACCCATAGAAAGTCAAAGCACCCAGAGGAAAACACGAAGGCACCGGAGTGAACGCGCTGAAGCACCCGGAGGAACCCGAGCCCCAGCGAGAGGAAACCGAGCACCACAAGTTAAATCCGTCAGCACCCGAGGAAACGTATGGCACCCTGAGGAACCGATAGCACGCCGGAAGGAAACCGAAGCACCAGAGAACCGTAGCACCCGAGGAAACCGTAGCACCGAAGGAAAACCGAGCCCCCGGAAACACCAAGTAGAACTCGGAAGGAAAACCGAAAGCACTGTGGAGGAACCGTAGTGGCACTCAGGCGAGTACCGTAAGCAAGCCCGTAGAGGAAATGCATGAGCACCTCGTGGACATAACCCGTAGGCACTCGTAGGTAAATTTGTTAAGCACCGTAGAGAAGCCGAAGCAACAGGAGGAAACCTACACAGTACACAGGGCCCCAAATCCTCAACGTACCAGCCTGTATCAAAGCCTGGATGACATACTATAGTTTAGAAAGCAGAATTTAGAAGGATAGATCAAATACTTTTGTGGAAACTGAGCAGAAAGTGAACCGTCTTGGAGCTCAGAGTCAATTTACAGTGAGCGGGCAAAGAGAAATACTCCAAAACTTTTTGTAGTGAAAACATGAAAAAATATGAATCTCAACTTGTTTAAAGCTTGTCGGAATCGTGTCTCTTTACAGTGACACCCAGACTGTGCGTCATCCGTCAGCCGTGACAGCGCTGACCACCAGAGAGGATTGAGAGAAGACACAATGAGAGCTATCCTGCAGCAATGCACTGACACACATTCAGCTCAGGCACAAACTCACATTAGAAAAACTATTTATACGGTAAATAGTCGCTGATCCTTGACAGCGTCTGACCACAAGAATGGTTCGAGGAGAATCCACTTCATTGTAAGCTAGTAAACACATTTATAGAGTACCAAAGTGCTGGCACAAGATGAATAATGCCATGAGAATCACTCAAAGTCAGCAAATAAAACTAATAATATGTTTAAAGCCAGAGATTAAAAAGATGGGAGGCTGAGTATATTTTTTGGTTTTTTTTTTAAGAGGTGGTTGTCACATGGTTACAGCAAATGTACCGTGTATAGAAAGATTTGGAAATGACTAACTACCGCTAGTAGTGTGCAGTGTAAGACTCAATAAGGAAGGCCATGGATGAATGTGTTTTCTCAAAATAAAATAAAATAAAATAAAGACAACAAAAAACAAAAATCACTCAACAAAAATATAAAAAACACAAAAAAATCAACGTCGCTCTGGACTCGCTCTGCTTTAGACTTGCATTGGAAAGCTAAACTCTCCAGCTCAGAAACTCACATTGTCTCACACTTAGGGCTTAGAAAATCTGAGGTTAAAATTTGCTACTCAGATAGCCTGTAGTTTATGTGGTGAAGTCTTTTGTTAAATCCATAAATGATCGTGAGGCTATTCTTACACACAACATGGAACACGTCTGCCCTTCTGTTACTTTAGCTGAGGAGCACTAGGGACACGGCCTCTCTGCTAGGGACTCTGAGGAGCACAGGGACTGGCCTCTCTTGTTTAGTGCCCAGTAAGGTCAGGACTAAACAAGAGAAGGAATCATTGTCAGATTCATCGTAGCTGAAACACTGTCATACCCATAAAATGTGAGGGGTAGTGCATTCTACTTGGGTGATAATGTCAAACTATGTTAAAAACAGGTAACAACTAGAAAGTTATTATAATCTTCAGACGCTTTTAATGAACTGCGATTATTCAATGAGTTACAATGCCTTAGTTAACTTGTCTTGTTTATAGTTACAGCACTATTGAGTTGCCTAGTGTACTGTAGGAAGTGGGCTATATAAATGAGTAACTAGGACTTACGGAAGGGGTTGTGCACTTTCTTGACGTTGAGGGTGAAGCCGCTGTCGGCTCCCTGGATCCGGAAGAAAACCATGGCCACGTTCTGAGAGGAGCGCATGGCGGAGCCGGCGGCGCTGGACGAGCAGAAGTCCGTGTAGCGCTGGTGTGAGGGCAGAGGGTGGTCCAGGCTGCTCGGAAACTTCTCCCCTTTCAGCACCCAGCCATCGAACATCTGCCAGACGGAACGCACAAGCTCATTCTATCTTTCTATGCATCTATAGGCATCAATCCTTTCTTCTTAGGATGATGGTTGACTGCAAGAAGAAGTTCTGATTCAATTCAACTCAAATTCTTGTATAGCCCTAAATAATAGCCCTAAAATATGGTATTGTGATGTTTGTATTTTAATATATTGTAAGTTGTCATTTCCTATGTATTTTCCTGCCAAGGGACTACAGATGAAAACTAGCTTGGTAGCTATAATCCCACATATCTACATTCGTTATTGTACTGATGTTCATTAATGTGCATTGTCCCTATCAAATAAATAAATGAATAAATAACAACAGTAGCTATCTCTGAGGACGTTACAAAACCGTTGATTCACCAACACAGATCAGAGAATCAATCAATCCGTTCAAACACAAGAAATGCAATGATAAAAAACACATAGAGTCGTTGGTCCATAAGGGGCAGATGACCAATGTCCATAAATGTCATTAAATGTCGAGGGTCACCACTAGGGCTGGGCAATAAATCGAATTTAGGCAATTAATCGGCTTTTGAAAAAATAAATTTGTGAAAAATCACACTCGCATCGTGAACCAAACATGTACTGCCAATCTGGAATGCCTGGTCTTGAGCTGCCGCCCTTTTTATCTTCCCCGTGAGTTTTCAGTGATATTTTTATGTGCTGTTTACATTCACCCTGACCCAGGATCGAGTGCTCATGGGACGGTGTTTTGAAACCAGAGAGGGGCTGAGACTATAAATATCTGACCATCGTTGGCCCGACATTTGAAACCTACACTTCCTGTGAACACGCGTGTGCTGTTTACATGTTTTTGTGATTAATATCTTTTGTAGAAAAACTACTGCGGTGCTGTTTACATAAGAGAGAGACCAGAGAGAGACCAGAGAGAACCAAGAGAACCAGAGGAGAGTCACCCAGAGAGAGACCAAAGAGAGAGACCAGAGAGAGACCAGAGAGAGAGACCAAAGAGAGAGACCAGAGAGAGAGACCAGATAGAGACCAGAGAGAGACCAAAGAGAGACCAGAGAGAGACCAGAGAGAGACCAGAGAGAGACCAAGAGGAGAGAGACCAAGAGAGAGACCAGAGAGAGATAGACCAGAGAGAGAGACCAAGAGAGAGATACCAGAGAGAGACCAAGAGAGAGAGAGAGAGAGAGACCTAGAGAGAGAGATCCAAGAGTGAGACCAAGAGAGAGAGGACCAGAGAGAGAGGAGACCATAGAGGAAGAGACCAGAGAGAGAGAACCTGAGAGAGAGACCAGAGAGAGAGACCAGAGAGAGAGGACCAGAGAGAGACCAGAGAGAGAGACCAAGAGATATCATTGAAACTTTAGAGAGAGGACCAGAGACAAAGAGACCATTGAAGACCAAACCAGCGCTGCCAGACCGCGACCTCTCGGTCATGATGATCTCTGGTCTCGTAGTACGTCTTTTGAGCTGAGGTGACCAGGGAAAGCTTTTTACTAAGAATAATGAAATAATCTTTATTTGTGTACAATTTTAAAAAACAATGTTTACAAAGCGCTGCACAGTCAGCAAATAAACAATAATAACAGAAGGAAAAGTCAAAAATAATTAGATACATCAGATACAGTAAGTTAATCTTTTATGTAAGTTTGTAATCTTTATTTATAATACCGCCTTGTCACTGCACAGCGGGTCCTCAAAGCGGTTTACAATTGGTTATTTTTGGAGTGGGTCCAGTAACAGGAGGCACATGCCAGAACCTATGATCAATTTGTAGTAATTGGTAGAAAATACAGGAAAACAAAAACACAAAAGAAAGACCCAAAAAGACAGAGCAGACATTAAAAAGAAGCATGTGAAGCTGTTTAAAACCAACACTTAAAAAGCTGTTTTTGAATAATAAGTGGGTTTTTATAGAAAGATTGAAAAGAGGATCGTGATGAACGCCTTATCTCCTCGGGTGGTTTCCAAAGCCGAGGACCCCGGCACAGAAGGCTCGGTCCCTTTTTGTCCGGAGCCCCTCACCCTTGGCACTGTCACAGGACCTGCCCAGGATCTAAGGCAGCGGGGGAAGGGCTCGTAGGGGGTTAAAAGTGCATAAATATAGCTGGGTGCAAGACCTAACGCGCTTAAAAGTAAAATCAATGGTAAACCGCACAGGGAAGCCAGTGGAGGGACGCTAAGACAGTGGTGATGGGCTCCCTTCGGTTCAAACCAGTAGAAGTCTGGTTTTCGGGATTAGACTTTCCACTTGACAGATGATTGAAGGATTTATTTTACTATGCTTAGAAAACAACAATAAACCACTTCAGCACCACATTTAGTACAAAAAGGTATAAAAACAAACTGATTGACAGCGACAGAGCTGACAAAAGAAATAGGTCAACAGAGGAGGGCTACACACTGGGACCAAGAACCCACTGCCTCCTCCCACCTCGTTTTTGTTCGTGGTTGATCTGTTTTAGGACAACCAAATACACACACACACACACACACACACAGCACACACGCACACACACACGGCACACGCACGAACACACCACATAGCACACACACACGGCACACGCACGCACCACACACAGCCACGCCACACACACACACACACGCACACGCACCACACGGGCACACACACGCAAATGCACGCCCACCCACACACACACACACACACGCCACACACACACACACACACAGCACTGCTCTAGATGTTTATAAATACTGTTAAAAAACAGAAAACTGATCCACGACATTACAGTCCAAGGATCTGCCATCAGCCCCACTCGCACAACCTTTCTCTACGTCTCTACTCTCTGCACGGAGCATCCATTGTGGGCGCTCATCAGGGAAGAGCAAGGCGTAGGGCTGTGTTTCTACGTCATACAAACAGGTGTAACGTTGGACAGTGACTACCAAGCACTGGCACTCCGGCTCTGGAATATCTTTTCATTGTCATGTAAACTGTTTTACTCCCCTCATGAAATGTGTTTCTTTCATCTGTGCCTCGTGTTGTTACATACCGCATGCGCGGACGCAGAGCAATACTGTGTATGGATCTAACGTTTATGACCCGGACTCTCTGATTATTATCCGGGGGATTATTTAATAAGAAACTTGGATCCAGAATGTACCAAAAAAATTTCCTCCGTGCGTCTGACTACAAACAGCTAAATAATCAGTTTCAGGAAAGAACTGGAAAGGCAAAAAAAGCCAAGTCCCCGGCCACCAGAGAACGGACTACAGAGCAAAGCAAAGAAGGTTTCTCACTCCATCAGCTGTACTGCTAGCAAGATTTCCCATCGTTTCGTCCGCAAAACTAGCGACTTCTAGGGAAATGAATGTCGCGACCGCCCCGCGTTGGAGAGTGAGGTGAACTATGCCTTTCTAGATTGTCAAGGTCCATCAACTGGAGAACGGACAATTTAGATGACTGAGGTCTTCAGAAAGTCCCACTCAACACTGACCAGTACCGTGGCCTTTGATTCAAATCCTCCCGATACAACCAAACTTCGGGTCATTTAAACGCTCCAACACCGAGCCCGACCAGTCCCCACAGCTCGAGGGAAAGAAACAGAGGAAACCAAACATTTCATAAGAGCCACTTTCCCAGATGTGGGCTACCCCACCATGGTCTTTTACTACAAGCCCAGAGGGACGAGAAATGACCAAGAGACACAGTCCCACAGACCAGAAGGAAAGTTGATGAGAGGGTGTACTACCTGTATTGCGGAGTTTCAGAAAACTACAAAGAATCTAACCCACACCCTGAGGTTATACATCTCCAACGCGCGGGTCCGAAGAATTCATTGTTCCCTGAAGAAGTGCCGCTAGTTTGGAGGACTAAAAACGGGGGGAATACTTTGCTAAGAAGTACAGAATGATGGGTGAGAAACCGTCCTTTGCTTTGCCGCCTGGTATCGCCTCTGGTGCCGGACTTGCTGCTTTCAGTGTCTTTTCCTGAACGGATATTTTCTGCTAATTAGCTCCGCGCACGGGTGGATTTGGTAAGTCCTGGCTCAAGTTTCCCTTATTAAAAATCCCCCAGGATAATAATCAAGAGTCCGGGTAGAAACGTTTTCCCATACACAGTACTTTGCTCTGCGTCCGCGCATGCCGGTATCGTCACAGAGGCAAGAATGAAAGAAACAATTTCATGAGGGGAGTAAAACAGTTTAAAATGAAGAAAAGAGATGCCAGAGCAGAAGAGCAGTTGTCCTTGGATATCACTGTCACATCTTACAACCATTTTGTATGGACGGGAGAAAACACAGCCCTCCACGCCGCTGCTCCTTTCCTGAGAGCGCAACTAAATGGCGATCCGACAGAGAGGAGAGAACGTATAAAAAGGTGGGAGCAGAGTGGGCTGATGGCAGATCCTTGGAACGTAATGGCGTGGGATCAGTGTTTCTGCTCTTTTTTTTAAAGTATTTTATAAACATCTAGAGCATGCTGTGTATGTGTGTGTGTGGTGGCCGTAGTGGGTGTTTGTGTGTGGTGTGTGTTGCCGTGCATGTTCGTGTGTGTGCCGAGGTGTGCGTGTGCGTTGTGTGTGTGTGTGGCGTGTTTGTTGTGTGTGCGGGCGTTGCCGTGGGGTGTGCCATTGTGTGTGGTGCGGCGTGTGCGTGGTGTGTGTGGCCAGTGTGTAGTCTGGTAGGTGTGGTGGTGTTGGTGTGTATTTGGTTGTCCTAATACAGAGAAACAAAACAAAAACCAGGTGGGAGAGCAGGTGGGTTTCTTCCTGGTCCCCGGTGTGGTACCTCCTCTGGGGACCCATTCCGTTTTGGGTAACTCTGTCCGCAGTCAATGTGTTTTGTTTTTATACGTTTTGTACTAAAGGTTTCTGAAAGTGTTTATTGTGACTTTTCAAGAATAGTAAAATAAACTCATCCAATCATCCTGGAAGTGGGAAACGTCAAATCAGAAAACCAACTTCTGCACTGGTTTGACACAGAAGGGAGCACATCACCCCCCCTGTCTTAGCGTCCCTACCACTGGCTCCCTGTGCGTTTTACAATTGATTTTACTTAAAAGCGTCTTTGAGGTCCTTGCACCCAGCTATATGTAGGCACTTTTTTAACCCCCTACGAGCCCTTCCTCCCCCGCAGCCTTAGATCCTCTGCAGTCCCCTGTGACTGTTCCAAGTGCGGGGCTCCGGACATAAAGGAGACCGACGCCTTCTGTGTCCGGGGGTCCGCGGCGTTGGAACCACCCAGGGAGATAAGGCTGTTCAATCAGTATCCTCATTTTAATTCCTTCTAAAAACCCAGCTTTTTATAAAACCGCTTTTAATTGTTTGTTTTAAAACATCACAGCTTCATTTTAATGGTCTGCTCTGTCTTTGTGTGTCTTTCTTTCTTGTGTTTGGTTCCTGTATTACTAAAAAATTACTAAAAATATGTGCAATAGGTCTGGCATGTGCCGCCGTGTACTGGCCCCATCTTCGTCCCAAAAATAACAATTGTAAATACCGCTTTGGAGACTCAGAGGTGCAATGAAAAGGCGGTATACTATATAATGATTACTAAACTACATAAAGTGTACTGTACTTAGCTGATGTAGCTAATGTAGTTTGGACTTTGCATGTATGTTAAGAGTGATTATCATGCTGGAATGTGCCAGCGCTTTGTAAACATTGTTTTTAAAAGTGCTACACAACGTAAAATTTTATATTATTATTAGTATAAGCTTTGGTCACACATCAAAAGACGTACTACAACCCAGAGATCATCAGAACCGAGAGGTCGCGGTCGCCCTCTCTGTTGGGTCTCTCACTGGTCCTCTTTTCTCTGGTCTCTCTCTAAAGTCTCTCAATGATATCTCTCTGGTCTCTCTCTTCTGGTCTCTCCTCTGGTCTCTTCTCTCCTGGTCCCTCTCTCATCTGGGTCTCTCTCTCTGGTCGCCTCTCTCTCTGGCTCTCTCTCTCTGTTCTCCTCGCTCTGGTCTCTCTCATCTCAGGTCTCTCTCTCTGGTCTTCTCTCTGGTCTCTCGCTCTTCTCTCTGTCTCATCTCTCTGGTCGCACTCCTCCTTCTCTCTCTGGTCCTGCTCGCTATCCTCTGGGTCTCTACTCTCTGGTCTCTCGTCCTCTCTGTTCTCTCGTCTCTGGTCTTCTCTCTCACTGCGCTCTCAGGTATCTCTCTGGGGGGTCTCTCTCTGGTCTCTCTCTGGTCTCTCTCTGGTCTCTCTCTTGTCTCTCTCTCTGTCATCTCTCCTGGTCTGCGCTGCCTAACTCTGAGTCTCTCTCTGGTCGCTAACTCCGGTCCCTCTCGCTGGTCTCTCCTCGCTAGGGACCTCTCTTCTGGGTCCTCTCTCTGGTCGCTCTCTGGTCCTCTCACTGTCTCTCGCTGTCTCTCGCTGGTCTCGTCTCTGCTGGTCTCTCTCTGCTGGTCCTCACAGAGGTAAATTATGAAAGTCTGTTATCTCTTCCACCGCAGTAGTTTTGTCGTACAAAAGAATATGATTTCAAATTTAAAAAATCATATAATTAATTCTCATAATAACAACGGCCAAAACATGAAATAACATGTAATCTTAAGGTAGAAGGGTCATGTGTCGCATGTTCAGAAGTTTCTGGTTTCATAATGTGGGCACACGATGTCAGATATTTTATAGTCCTCAGCCCTCTCCTGTTGCAAAACACGTCCCCATAGCACATCGCTCCGGGGTCAAGACAGGGTTCAGACTGGGTCAGACTGGGTCCAGACAGGGTCCAGCTGGGGCATCACAGTGGTCAACAAAGTGGGGTCAGCTGGGTCAATCAAGGGTCAACAGTGTCAACAGGGTCAATCTGGGCAGACTGGTGCAGACTGGTCACGACAAGGCAAACAAGGTCAGACTAGGGTCAGACAGGGTCAGACAGGTCAGACTGGGTCAACAGGGTCAGACAGGTCAACTGGGTGACTGGGGTTCATACAGGGTCAGACTGGGTCGACTGTAGTCAGACAGGGTAGACAGGGTCAGACTGGGTCCCGACTTGGTCAACTGGGTCAGGGACTGGGTCAGACATAGGTCAGACAAGGTCCAGACTGGGTCAGACAGGGCAGACAGGGTCAACTGGGTCATACCAGGGTCAGACTTGGTCAGACTGGTCAGACAGGTCCAGACAGGGTCAGACCAGGTCAAGACTGGTCAACGGGTCAGACGGGTCAAACAAGGTCAGACAAGGGTCACTGGTCAGACGGTCAGACAGGTCAGACTTGGGTTCAGACATGGGTCAGACAGGGTCATACTGTCAACGGGTCAGACAGGGTCCAGACAGGTCAGAATGGGTCAGACGGGGTCAGACGGGTCAGACTGGGTCAACTTATGGGGGTCAGACAAGGTAACTGACAAGGTCAGACTGGGTCAGACAGGGTCAGAGCAGGGTCTACAGGGTCAGACAGGGTCAGAGAGGGTCGAGGACGTGGTCCAGACTGGGGGTCCATGACAAGGTCAAGACGAATGTCCGGCACTGGTGACTGGTGTCCAGACAGGGTCAGACTGGGTCAGTCACAGGGTCAGACAGGTCAGACTGGGTCATACAGGGTCAGACAGGTCCAGACAGTCCGGGGCAGTCATGATTTACACTTTTGTTACTGAATTCTCCCTCTAAGTCCTGTGTTGGGTTCAGTCCTGGTGGTTCATGACTGGTTAGGCAAAAAACAAAATTTAACGTCATAATGTGTGGTGTTTATGTGTTTTTTTGGCAATTTTTTTATTTGTTGCTGGGGTTAAAAAACAAACAAAAAAAAACAGAGATTGTTTCCATGCAAAGTCAGAACGGGTCCGGATTAATCATAAAAAAGTGGTATTAAATCTGGTTCTCTCATCACAGTTTAGTTGAACTTGTTTCATTAATATGCCTTTCCAGTAATAAATAAAAATAGAGAATATAATGTTTTGTGTAGACCTGTACTCAACTGTGTGTTTTTAAAGACCAGACTGAGGCGGGAACCTGAGGATGCACCCCGCGTTCACAACACAGTCAGGTCTGAGAGACCCCCTCCAAGTTCAAGTCCAAGGCTGGATGATGGACACACACGATTTTACACGTTCCATATTTAATGCAAATTCAATAAGGATGGGAATGAGTGTGTTTTTTGAAAGTGCAGTTGGGGGTGCATGTCACCTCTCAAACCACAAGAAAGCGGCTGTCGCAAAGGTCAAAGACTGCCCTCCACTTTAGATACCCGAGTCCAGGCACTGGGAGCCCTTACATAGGGGACATTAGTAAACCAAGCTCTACAGACAAGAGTCAGATCCTTATTAGCTCGACTGTTCCTCCTGGGAGGATGGGGGTATTCTTAGTGGATAGAAAGCTTAAGTTTTGAGATTCTAAAATGAATGATAACCACTGGTCTAAGAAGTTCCCCCAACACGACATGTTCCAGAGCTGAAAGGTGGTGTCACACGTTCCCTGAATGAACTGCAGCACCAAGAAAGTGAACTGGGGCATTTTCAATGACTGCACTACAGGTGCCCCGCCCCCTCAGGACATTTCTGAAACAATGTTGTGAAAGCTACAGTGGTACATGTGTTCGGGCTGATATGAATTCACACCTGTTTTTCTTGTTCCCGCCAGAAGCACCAAGGGAAGCAGCATAGGTCCCCGGCGTGGTCATTCTGAGAGAATGGACAAATGGTGGAAGGGGGGGAAATCCAGGCGTGGACCATAGGAGGAAGACCCCACCCCTCCACGAGTCAGGCGAGTGACGGAGCTTCTATGGTGTCCTTTAAGCAGTGTTTGGAATTTTTTTTAAAGGAGAATCCCTCTCGTTACTTATTTTATAAAAGGACCTGAATACTTTACTTACTTAGTTCGTCTACTGAAAAGTTAACGTTAATGTGAATTCTTGCCTCTTACATTTTTGTGTTGCTGTTATTAACCATCTACTGTCTCTGGCCATCCACTAAAAGCGGTCAATCCAAAAGACACGTCGAACGGGTCTTGATCTTTGTCAGCTGAAACGGGGAATCACCGCGTGGCCTGCTGTGAACGCCCACTTAAATAATACGCTCTGAAACCAATGCAGAGCTGGAAACCTATTGAGCCAATGAACAAAGTCTTGCGGACAACCGTTCCCACTGTTTAACCTACACTGTTTAACCCACACTGTTTAACCTACTGTTTATGGCCTACTCTTGGTAACTCTACACTGTTTAACCTACTGTTTAGCCTACAACTGTTTAACCTACACTGTTGTAACCGAAGTTTAGACTACACCTGTTTAACCTACTTGTTTAACCTACTGTTTAAACCTACAGCTGTGTAACCTGACACGTTTAACCGACTGTTTAACCTGACACTGTTTAGCGTGCCCACACTGTTTAAAACCTACATTGTTTAAAACCTACTGTTTAACCTACACTGGTTTAACCTACATTGTTTAACCTACGGTTTAAGCCACACTGATTAACCTACTGTTTAGCCGACACTGGTTAACCGACAGTTGTTTAAAACCTACACTGTTTTAACCTACGTTTTAGCCTTCACTGGGTTTTAGCCTCCCTGTTTTAACCTACACTGTTTAACCTACAGTTTAGCCTACACTGTTTAACCTACATTGGGTTTAACCTACCTGGTTAGCTCACCCACTGTTTAAACACCTACATGTTTTAACCTACATCCCGACCTGACAACATCCACATACACAAAAAGACATAGGTATCAGCATTCTTTATTATTTTGGTTGCCTTGTTCAGGAGCACAACCAGCTCAGCCTCCTTCCCAGAACAGTCTCCTTGCAAAATGTCCTTTTTTAAAGAAATAAGTCACACATCCACTTCTCACACAGTGCATACAGACTCACAAAGAGACCCTCGGTATGTGGCTTAAACAAAATTTGCAAGTCACAGGTACAGGAATGAGCCACAAGAGAAACAGAAGCATTTGGTCACCGGAAGAGCAGCACATGTGCAAACCCCTGGACCATCCTGAGCCAGTGAAATGAAATCTCTTCATTACAAATATATCTAGCCACAAAAGGATAATTAAAATGATAACTATAAACAACATTTCCAGTTACAGACACACTGACACAGTGATGCAGAGGCCGAGACACTGACGACTTTATTGACATGACCGTTCCTGTTTTGATACACGCTCCAACGTTTTGATGCAGTTTGCGTCTGGAAGTGCGACACACACCCCTTGGTTTCTTTGGCCCCTCACTAATCGCGCCGATAAAAAAAAATAAACGGCTTCAAGGTTATAAAAATTGTCGATAGGTTACCGCGTACTTTACTGCCCCCCTGGAAAAAAAGTTTGGTTTGGGTTAATGGAGACACGTTAATTTGTAAGTACTTAATTTACTTTGAGCAGCGCGTGATAACAACACAAAACAACCCCCCCCCTTGGTCATAACGACACTGAGGTGTGAGTGTTCTGTTTGTATATAACCTGTTATCAGAACCTAGTAAGTAAGTCAATGTTTTTATATAGCCGCCTGTTCACAGACCTGAGTCACAAAGCGTTTTACAATTTGTTTATTGTTTGGGCACTTGTCCTCTCACTCCCACACAAGATGGGGAGCGGGTCGAGCCGAACAGCAGGCGCAGGCCAAACCTATTAGACATAGTTTTAGTGGTAGGAAACCGAGTTAAACCCGGAGGAAACCTCGCAGGACACGGGAAGAATATGCAACTCCACGCAGAAAGGCCCTTGGGTCCGGCCGGGATTCGAACCCAGGACCTTCATGCTGAAGGCGAAGGTGGCTATGCCACTCAGCCACCGTTGGTTCGAACTGAAGGAACGGAGCGAGGAGCAGAACGCAGTTTCCCCGACAGCAATGTAGAGGACAGACTCAGCACCCGCCTCCCTCTGGTGCAGTCACTCACTGGGCGGGTCGCCCTCTGGGCTGTCCCACCCTCTGGCATGGCTCCCACTGGGCAGGCTCCCACTGGGTCTGTGTTCCTCCCTCTGGCCTTGCCTCCTCTGCCGTCTCCCTCTGTAGGCTGTCTCCCTCTGGAACATTCCTCCTCCCATCTGGGCAGTCTCCCTCTGGGCAGTCTCCCTCGGGGCAGTCCTGCCCTCAGGCAGTCCTCTCTCCTGGTCATCTCTCTCTGGGCATCTCACTCTGGGCTGTCTCCCGCAGGGCGTCTCCCTCTGTGCATCTCCCTCTGGGCATCGCCCTCTGGGCAGCCTCCCACTGGGCAGTCTCTCCCTCGGGCTGACTCCCTCTGTGCAGCCTCCTCCTGCACAGCCTCCTCCCTGCCGCAGGGCCCGCCTCCTGCGCAGCCTCCTACTGCACAGCCTCCGCCTGCACAGCCTTCCCTCCTGCACAGCCTCCTCCTCACAGCCTCCTCTCCTGCGCAGGAGCCCTCCTCCTGCGCAGCCGCCCTCCTGCCAGCCTCGCTCCTGCACAGCCTCCTCATGCACACCTCCTCCTGCACGCTCCTCCTGCACAGCACTCCTCCTGCAAGCCCTCCTTCCTAGCGAGCCTCCCGCCTGCGCACCTCCGCCTGGCGCAGAGGAGGCTGCGCACGAGGGAGGGCTGCGCAGAGAGAGCTGCGCAGCAGGAGGCTGCGCAGAGGAGGCTGGCGCAGGAGGAGGCCTGTGCAGGAGGAGGCTGGTGCCAGAGGAGGCTGAGTGGCTGGAGGAGGCGTGCAGGAGAGGCTGGCAGTAGAAGGCAGTGCAGGAGGAGGCTGCGCAGGGGAGGCCTGCGCAGGATGAGGCTGGGGCAGGAGGATGCTGTGCATGAGGAGGCTGTGCAGGAGGAGGCTGTGCAGGGAGGAGGCTGCGCAGAGAGGAGGCTTCGCGCAGGAGGAGCTGTGCAGGTAGGGATGGCTGCACAGAGGGAGACAGCCCAGAGGAGACTGCCCATGGAGACTGCCCAGAGGGAGAACTGCCCAGAGGGAGACTGCCCAGAGAGACAGCCCAGAGGGAACTGCCCCAGAGGAGAGACTGCCCAAGAGAGACGCCCAGAGAGGAGACTGCCCCAGAGGGAGAACTGCTCAGGAGGGAGACTGCCCAGAGGAGACTGCCCAGAGGGAGACTGGCCCAGAAGGGGAGACACCCAGAGAGACAGGGCCAGAGGGATACAGCCAGAGGGAGACTGCCCAGTGGAGACTGCCCAGAGGGAGACAGGCCCAGGAGGGAGACTGACCATAGGGAGGACAGCCCAGAGAGAGACAGCCCAGAGGGAAGCGGGTGCGGAGTCGGTCCCGGACCCATTGCGGTAGGGTAACTTGCGTTCTGCTCCTTCGGCCTCCGTCCTTCAGTAAAACCCACGGTGGCTGTAGTGGATAGCACACTCGCCTCTCAGCAAGAAGGTCCTGGGTCGAATCCCGGCCTGGACCCAGGGCCTTTCTGAGTGGAGTTTCATATCTCTCCGCCGTGTCCTGCGGAGGTTTCCTCCGGGTACTCCTGATCCCCTACCTCTAATAAATATGGTACAAGAGGATTCATGCCCTGCTGTTTCGTGCGACCCCCGCGACCATCTCTTGTGGAGTGCGAGACAAGTGCCCAAAAATAAACAAATGTAAACCCGCTTTGGGACTCTGGTCGTGAAAGGCTATAATAAATAAACATCTACTTACTTACTAGGTCGATTACAGTGTCTATAACAACAAACACTCACACATCTGTGTCTTTAAGGACCAGGGTGTGTAACACGCGCTGCAAAGTAATTAAGTACTTACAAATTAACGTGTTTATACATAATCAAAACAACCTTTTTTCCATGGGGGAAGGCAAAAGGTAACGGCGGTAACTATCGACAATTTTATAACGTGAACCGTTATTTTGTTTATCTGGCGCATTAGGTGATGGGCAAAGGAACACCAAGGCTGGTGTGGTCGCCTTTCCCAGAACAAACAGCTCAAAACGTTGGAGCGTGTATCAAAACTACGGTCCATGTCTAAAGCGGGTCAGAGTCACGGCTCTGCATCAATCTGTCCGTGTGTCTGTAACGGGGAATGTTGTTTAAGTTAATCATTATTAATAATCCTTTTTGTGGCTAGATATATTGTGTAATGAAAGGTGATTGCATTTCTGGCTCCAGGAGTCCCGGGGGTTGCATGAGCAGAGGCTCTCGGTGAACACAGCTCTGTTCACTGTGGCTCATTCCTTGTCCTGGACTTGCAAATATCTGTTAAGCCATACCGCGGTCTCATTTAGTCCTGTATGACGGTGTGGGAAGGGAGGCGTTCGTAGCATCCTTAAAAAGGGACATTTTGATGGGAGACATTTTCTGGGAAGGAGGCTGAGCTGTTGTGCGCTGAAAAGGCAACCACATAAAAAGAATGCCTGAACTATTCTTTTTGTGTATGTGATGTTGGTCAGGCGGGACTGTAGGTTAAATACTGTAGATTAAACATGTAGGCTAAACAGTAGTTAAACAATGATGGTTTAAACAAGTGTTGGCTAAACAGTAGGTTAAACATGTAGTTAAACAGTGATAGCAAAACAAGTGGAGGCTAAACAGTAGTGTTAAACAGTGTAGGTTAACAAATGTAGGTTAAACAGTGTAGGCTAAACGTAGGTTAAAAACAGTGGTAGGCTAAACTGTAGGTTTAAACAAAGTAGTTAAACAGGTGTAAGGTTAAACAGTAGGGTTAACAATGGTAGGTAAACTGTGTTGGGGACTTACCATGTAGGGTTATACAGTAGGGGGAAACAGTGTAGAGTTTAAACAGTGTAGGTTACACAGTAAGGTTAAACAATGTAGTTAAACAGTGTAGGCTAAAACAGTAGGGTAAACAGTGTAGGTTTAAACAGTGGTAGGCGAAACAGTAGGTTTAAACAGTGGTAGGTTAAACAATTGTGAGGCGAAACAGTGGTGAAACAGTGTGGGTTAAACAGTGTAGGTTAAACAGTGATGAACGTTGTCAAGGCGTTTTCATAGGCTCAATAGGTTTCCCAGCTCTGCATTGGGTTCAGAGCGGTAAGAGCGTATCACAGCAGGCCACGCGGTGATCCATTTCAGTGCAAAGTCAATGACCAGTTCGACGTGTCTTCTTGGATTTGACCGCTTTTGTGGATGGCAAGACTGGTAGTGGTTTAATAACAGCAACGACAAAAGTATGGCAACGGATCGAACATTAACGTAACTTTCGTAAGACAAGTAAGTAAAGTGAACAGGGTTCCTTTTTAAGATAATAAACGAGAGAAGTCACTTTAAGAACAAACTTCCCCAACCTGCTTATGACACATAGAAGCCGTACACTCGCCGGCCTGTGGAGGGCGTGGCGTCCTCCTCTGGTCCACGCCTGGTTCCATTCCACCATTTGTCCCACTTCTCTCAGATGACCAAGCCGGACTCTTGCAGCTGCCCTTGGGCTTTCTGGAGGGGAACAGAAAACAGGTGTGAATACATATCTGCAGAACAATGTCCAAAATGTAGCTGTTCAACAACATTGTTTTCAGAAATGTCCTGGCAGGGGGGCACTGTATGCAGCTCATTGAAAATGCACCAGTTCCACGTTCTGGTGCTAGCAGTTCTTTCCAGAAAGTGTGACACAACTTTCAGGCTCTGTACATGTCTGTGGGGACATTTAGACCAAGTGGAAATATCAATTCATTTTAGGTCAAACTTAAGCTTTCTATCCCACTAAGAATTGCGCATCCTCCAGGAGGAACAGTGAGCTAATATGGATCTGACTCATGGCTTTAGAGGTTGGGTACTAAGGTCCCCTAAGTAAGGCCAGTGACTGAGAATCGGGTAATCATAATGTGGAGCAGTCCTTTTGACATTTGCGACCTGCGCTTTAATTTGGTTTGAGAGGGTGGACATGCACCCCCAACCTGCACTGTTCAAAAAAATACACTCATTACAACGTAATTGGAATAATCGCATTAAATATGGAACGTGTAAAAATTGTGTGTCATCATCCACTTGGACATGATCTTGCAGGGGTCTCTCCACCTGACGTGTTGAAAGCGGTGCCTCCTCAGTGTTCGGGGGGCCGCAGTCTGGTCTGTAAAACACTAAGTCTGATTACAGGTCCTACACAAAACATTCATATTCTTCTCTGTAATTTATTACTGGAAAGTGCATAGTTAATGAAACAGGTCAAACTAAAATGTGATGAGAGACAAGATTTTACATACACTTTATTTATTAGTAAATCGACCCGTCTGAATTTGATGAAAATCTCGATTTATGGGGGTTTGTTTTTTAAACAGCAACAATACAATACATGGAATAATACACACACATATAACACACATTTATGACGTTACAATGTTTTATTTCTAACAGTGCATGAACCACCAGGACATGAAACACAAACAGACTTAGAGGAATTAGTAAAAAAGTGTGAAATATGACTGTCCCCGACCTGTCGGACCCTGTCAGACCCTGTCGGAACCCAGTCTGACCCTGGTCTGACCCTGCTGACCTGCTGACCCCTGTCGGACCCAGTCTGACCTTGTCACCTTGTCTGACCCATCTGACCCAGTCGACCCTGGTCTGACCCAGTCTGACCCTGTCTGACCCTGTCTGACCCTGTCTGAAGCCCAGTCTGGACCTTGTCTGTACCTTGTTCTGACCCAGTCTGACCCAGGTCTGACCCAGTCCTGACCCAGTCTGACCCAGTCTGACCCGGCTGACCCTGTCTGACCCAGTCTGGACCCAGTCTGACCCCTGTCTGACCCTGTCTGTCCCATCAACCGCTGTCTGACCCGGTCGGACCCAGTCTGACATTGGTCTGACCCTTGCGTCTGCCGCAGTCAGACCCAGTCTAGACCCAGTCTGACCCTGTCGTGACCCGTCTGACCCTGTCTGACCCAGTCTGACCCAGTCTGACCCCTGTAGACCCGTCTGACCCTGCTGACCCTGTCTGAGACCCAGTCTTACCTTGTCTGACTTGTCTGACCCAGTCCTGTGACCCAGTCTGACCCAAGTCTGACCCTGTTCTGCCCTTTGTTCTGGAGCCCTGTTCTGACACAGTCGTGAAAAGTCTGACCCTGTATGACCCAGTCTGACGCCAGCCTGACCGCTGTCCTGACCCTGTCTGACCCAGTCTGACCCTGTCTGACCCTGTCTGACCCAGTCTTGACCTTGTCTGAGCCTTGTATCTGTCCCAGTCTGACCCAGTCTGACCCTTCTGACCCCGTCCTGACCCTGTCCTGACCCTGTCCGGAACCCAGTCTGACCCATCTTGAGCCCTGTATGACCCTCTGACCCTGTCTGACCCCGTTTGACCCGGACTGCCCCTGTCCTGAACCCAGGAGCGAGTCTCATGGGGACGTGTTTTGAAACCAGGAGAGGGCTGAGACTAATAAAATCTGACCATCGTGGCCCACATGTTTGAAACCAGAAACTTTCTTGAACATGCGACACCCTGACCCTCTACCTTGAGAGATTACATGGTTTTATTTAATGTGTTGGCCGAGGATTATTATGAGAATTTAGGGAAGATTTTTTAAATTTGAAATGAATAACTTTTTGTAGAAAAACTACTGCGTGAAGAAGAACATACTTTTCGCATAATTTAACCCTCTCTGAGGAACAGAGAGAGAGACCTGAGACGAGCGACCAGAGAGAGACCAGAGAGAGACCAAGAGAGACCAAGAGAGACAGAGAGAGAACCCTAAGAGACCAGAAGAGAAGACCAGAGAGAGACCAGAGAAGGACCAGAGAGAGACCAAAGAGAGACCAGCAGAGAGACCAGAGAGGAGGAGACCAGAGAGGAGCCCAGAGAGAGACCAGAGAGAGACCAGAGAGAGACCCGAAGGAGACCAGAGAAGACCAGAGAGAGAGCGCCAGAAGAGAGAGAGCCAGAGAGAGAGACCAGAGAGAGAGGACCAGAGGAGTTGAGAGACCAGAGGAGAGAGGACAGAGAGAGAGAGGGAAGAAGGAGAGAGACCAGAGAGAGACCATAAGAGAGACCGAGGAGAAGAGAAGACCAGAGAGGAGAGAGACCAGAGATAGCGAGACCCAGAGAGAGAGAGACAGAGAGAGAGACCAGAGAGAGAGACCAAGAGAGAGACCAGAGAGAGACCAGAGAGAGAGACCAAGAGATATCATGGGAGAGACTGTAGAGAGAGACCAGAGACAAGAGACCAGTGAGAGACCAAACCAGAGCTGGCCAGACCGGCGACCGTTCTCGTTTCCATGTGATCTCTGGTCTGTAGTTACGTCTTTGAGCGGAGTGACCAAAGCATTATAATAATAATAATAATAATCTTTAATTGTGTAGCACTTTTAAAAACAATGTTTACAAAGGCGCTGCACAGGTCAGCATGATAAACAAAATAACATAATGCAAGTCAAAATAATTAGATACCATCAGATTACATAAGGGTAAACTTTATGTAAGGTAGTAATACATGAATTTTATATACCGCCTGTTTCCACGCACACGGAGGTCCTCACAGACGGTTACAATTGTGATTTTTGGGAGTGGGCCTGTACCGGAAGGCACATGCCAGACCTCTTGAACATATTTTTTAAGTAATTTTTAGTAATACAGGAAAACAAACACAAGAAGGGATAGACACAAACAAAGACAGAGCAACATTAAAAATGAAGCTTGTGGAAGGTTTTAAAACAAACAATTAAAAGCTTTTAAGTCAAGTGGGTTTTTAGACGAAGATTTATAAAGAGGATACTGAGATGCCTTTATCTCCGCGGTGGTTCCAAAGCCGAGGGACCCCGGACACAGAAGGCGCGGGTCTCCTTTTTCCGACCTCGACCTTGGAACAGTCACAGGGACCTGCCCGAGGATCTAGGGCTCGGGGGGCTAAGGGCTCGGTATGGGGGGTTAAAAGTGCATAAATATAGCTGGGGTAGCAAGGACCTAAACGAGCTGTTAAAAGTAGAAGACAATGGTAAACCGCACAGGGGAGCCTGTGGAGGGGACGCTATGACAGGGGTGATGTGCTCTCCTCTGTTCAAACCAGCTGATAAGTCGGGGTTTTCTGATTAGAAACGTTTCCACTTACAGAGTGGAGGTGAGATGATGTAATGTCTATTCTTGACAGACAAACCATAAACCCTTTCAGCACACATTTAGTACAATATCGTATAAAAAAAACTATTGACAGCGACAGAGGTTACAAAAGGAATAGGCCACAGAGGAGGCTACACACAGGGGACCAGGAGAACCCACTGCCGCCTCCCACCGCGTTTTTGTTCGTGATTATCGGTTTTAAGGCACAACCCAATACACACACACACACACTCACACACAGCACACACGGCACACACACACGGCACACGCACCAGACACACACGGCAACACACACTCGGCACCACGCCACGCACACACACACACACACTCCACACACACACACACACGCGTCACGCACACACTGCCCAACACACGGAACCGGCACAAGGCACGGCACACACACACACACACACACACCGCCCACACACACACACGACACAGCAGGCACAGCTCTAGATGTTTATAAAATCCTTTAAAAAACAGAAAACCTGATCCACGACTTGACAGTTCCAAGGATCTGCATCAGCCCCACTCTGCGCAACCTTTCTCTACGTCGCTACTCTCTGGGCACGGATCGCCATTGTGGCCTCTCAGGGAAAGCAAGGCGAGGGCTGGTGTTTCTAACGTCCCCCCAATACAAACTGGTGGTTAACGAGTACAGTGAACTTCCAAGGCACTGCTCCCTGCTCTGGAATATCTTTCATTCTTTGTAAAACTGGTTTTACTCCCCGCATGAAATTTGTGTCTTTCTTCTTGCCTCTGTTACAACCGCATTCGCCGGACGAGCAGAGCGAAGTGACATGAGTATGGGAACGTTTATACCCACTCTCTGAATAAGGTAAGGAAACTGTCAGGATCATACTGGAGAACGGACAATTAGAGACTGAGGTCTTCAGAAAGTCCACTCACACACTGACCAGTACTTGGTCTTCAGAAAGTTCCACTCATTCAAAGTAACCTGGCCTTCAAATGATTCAAATCATCCGCTACAACATAAACTCGGGGTCATTAGAACGCTTCAACACCGAGCCCACCAGGTCCCCACAAGCTCGGAGGGAAAGAACAGAGAAACCAAACATGTTCAGAGAGCACTTTCCAGATGTGGCTACCCCAAGTGGTCTTTTACTAAAGCCCAAAGGACGAGAAAGGCCAGAGACACAGTCCTACAGACAGAAGAAAGTAGGAGGAGAGGGGTGTCCTTACCGTATGTGGCGGGAGTTTCAGAGAAACTACAAAGAATCTTTAGGCAACACAAAATCCCTGTGTATTTCAAACCTTTCAACACGTTAAGACAGAAATTAGTGCATCCCAAAGACAAAACACCCAGACACAAACAGAGCAATGTGGTGTATTCAATTAAATGTAGTGAAGAGGAGTGCACTGACCACTATATTGGAGAAACCAAACAAACTCTACAGAAACGACTTTACCAACATCGTAGAGAAAACTCTAGTGGGCCACAGTCGGCTGTTCATCTCCACCTCAAGGCCTCCAACCACACGGTGGATGACACAGAGGTTAAAATTCTGGCTCGGGAGAAGAATTGGTTTGAGAGAGGGGTGAAAGAAGCTATTTTTGTGAGGAAACAAAAAACCTTCTCTTAACAGAGGAGGAGGGTTAAGATTTGTTTTGCCTCGCATCTATGACGACATCCTAAAAACAACGCCCTAACTTGGGACAAGGTCAGTGACATGCTAATGAGTTAGGAGGGGTGAGACCTGCACTCCACTTGAGCATCCCAGCAGACAATAGGTCTGTGACATGCTAAGGAGTTAGGGTCGTTAGCCTCAGCAGGGTCGTTAGACCTGCTCCCTTCTACATCAAGCAGACCTGAGATTGTTTACGAGTTAGTATCAGGATTAGGGTGTGGCTTACCACACCCATAGGTTATAAATCTCCAACGCGCGGTCCGAGAATTCATTCCCTGAAGAAGTCCCCAGGTTGAGGACGAAACGTCGGGAAAACTTGCTAAGAAGTACAGATGATGGGTGAGAAACCTTCCTTTGCTTTGTCCCAGTGGTATATTTTTGGTAACTTTTTGAACATTGCCTAGAATGACTCTGGTGTGCGTGTGTGTGAATGGTTGGTTTTGATCATAGGGGGTGTTGAGGTGTTGAAATCTAGTATCCTGTTACTGTGCTAAATAAATAACCCTACTTTTGTATGAAAACAACCACAAGATTCATCAATGTGACATGTATCTGTTAAAATTACACTACACATTCTTAATAGCTCAGTAGCGACAGTAGCTCAGTTGATAGAGCATTGGCCTTCAGGCCAGAAGGTCGTGGGTTCAATTCCCACCTCATTCAGTACCTCATTCATCCAGCTGGGTTCCACAGTTAAAGTTAGCAAATGCAACAGTATGTTTTTATGTAAAGGCGTTTCAACCCAATCCACGAGTCCTTCTCAGTCTGACTTCTGGCCTGGCTACTTTTGCAGTAGTATAAAGTCTATGCAGCCAATATTTAATTTGTTGTTTTTTGGTGTTTTCCCTTGTCAGACAGTAGAAAAGTGACAGTAAAACAGTCTAAGTCTATTAGAGCTGTGTTGACCTCGCAGTGATCTCCTTTGGACAGATTAAGGCGTCTGCTCTGGGGTCATGTGAGATCACAGCAGGCGGTAGGATCCATCACCGTCTGCACCTGTGATCTGTCTGCGGCTCTGGTCTGTCCATGCATCAGCTGCAGTGTGACCCGATGTAAACAGTGTGTGTGAGTGACATGTGGGGACCAGCCTTCTTTGTGAGGATCAAGTCAGGGATCAAGTTTTTGGTAAAAGTTTAGGCTGATTTTTTTTTTTTTTTTTACAGTAAAATGTGAGGTGGGAATTTAACCCTTGTGAAAATTGACCCCCCTCAGTGAATAAAAATACTCAAAATTATAGGTTTTTTTTCTGAATTTTTCTGAGTTTTCCTAAGTTGACCGGATCTGGGTCATTCAGATCCTTTGAGACCCAAACTAAGGTTTATTTTTTCCACTTTGAATCACTGTAGCGTGTCATTTTTACCTGAGGATTATACACAGGATACACATCTTCAGTAATTAACAGAATTTATTCAAAGGGCCTCAAACGGCCTGTTTGGCTGCAGGTTTTATATACAACCAAGTAAGAGCACAGCAGACTCCACCCATTTGTTATCCTGAAGATTTGAGGAAATGGGAGTGTTGCATGCTCCTGCTTGGTTGGAATGAAAGCCTGCAACCACACTGGCCTGAGGAAAAACAGAAAGTACCTCAGAGCGGCCCAGACGGTCCAGGTTGGAGATGTCGACCGTGTCTCCGGTGGCCGCTGTGTCCACGCCTCCGGTGCCACGCTTCTGCAGCCGCAAGTTCTCAAGAATCTTTTTGAAACGAGCGTCCTGAAAAAATCAATGCAGCAATTTTCAACGTAATCTCGAATTGTATCATGGCTGTCAAACCGGTTTTCAAAGGGCCGGTGTGGCTGCAGGTTTTAGTTCCAAAAAGCAGAAGCGCACCAGACTCCACCCATTTCCTCAAGTCTTCAGGTTAAAACTGGACTCACATGAGGAAACCGTTTTTATGAAGATATAAATTGATCCATAGACAGATTTTGGAGGCAGATTTTGGAGAGCAGAGACATCCAGATTCTTTCAGATCAGATACTTTATCTTTCTCATCCAGGGTAATCCCAAACCGTTTCCAGGCCAGCGAAGAGAGAGTTCCCTCCAGTGTGTACTGGGTCTTCCCCGGGGGCCTTCTTCCAGTGGGACATGCCATGAACATTTACCCCAAACCCTAACCCTAACCCAGGGAGGCATCCAGGAGACATTCTAAACAGATCCGTGAACCACCTTAACTAGCTACTCAACGTGGAGGAGCAGCATCTCTAAGCCAGGCTCTTTATGTGTGACTGAGCTCTGAGACCATACAGCCACTCTGGAAAAAAATTCTAATCGACCTCTCTTTTTGTAATGTTTTGGCTTGTAGTATGTGTTTGATTGGCTGATAGGGGATTGGATTAAAAAACACTTTTTTGCTTTGACCATTCCCTTTTCAAACTATGTACAGGTCTATTGTTTAGTCTTATCATTTGTTTTCCTCCTGTGAATATATCTCACCCATCCATCAATCCATTTCACAGAGTCCCCAGAGCACCAGCCCTCCCTATATCTTGTGCATGTTTGAAATAAATAAATTAATTAATTGTATCTGCCATCTTGTTATTTTGGTCATTCTCATTCATTGTCACTCTCCAAACACAACATCACACATGTCCACTATGATCACATCTCAATTCAGAATAAAGCTGTTAGTACTTCCATTTCAGTGTATTTATTCTGGTTGCTTCTTCCGTACCTTGCTGAGCCTCGGCAGGCGGATGTGCACTCCAGCCCTGAGACCGGTGCCCAGATTGGAGGGACAGGTGAGGATGTACCCCAGCCTCTCGTTCCACATGAACTCCCAGCCACGCTCCTGGATCAGAGTCTCCACCTGTGAAAGTTAAATATTCAAGATTAGTGGTTTTCTATGTTGTCAAGTCTTGGTTAGGTTCAAGACTAAAGTTCATTCAGAAAGCAGAAGTAGCCTCGCACAATGGCCCCAATGGTGAACTCCATTTAGGTTCAAGCTAATGCTACTAGCTAATTTCCCACTGGGTTATAGAGGTTTTCCTTCATATCACAAGGAATGTCAGATTACTGCCAACCAATATACAATTCTAATAATACCCATGTTTTGTCTGTTTGAGTCTCTCCAGATGCCACTCAGAAGGCCACTCTCTGATCTGAACATAACCTCTACACCTGCACCATCCTGACCCCGCCTCACACACTGCTGTAGGGTTCTCAGCGTTACACAATCTGCCTGTGAGACAAACCTGCTTCAGGCCTTTGCAGAAGCGCTCGAACACTCTCTTCATGTTGCCTCCTTTCTCCATGGAGATGACCCGAGTGTGGTCCTCCTCGTTGATCCAGATCAAAAAGTTCTTGTCATCGTTATGCCTGGCACAGAAGCAACGTATTCGACATCAATCTATGACATATTTTTAACCCACATCGGGAATGTAAATCCATCAGGTCTACAGGAACCTTATAACTGGTAGAAAAACATTCTGAACGTACCATATCCCGCGGGCATCGGGCCAGTCCCGGGCCATGCCTGCTGCAGTGAGTAGAGGGGACACGGGTTTGTCAAAGAGGAAGTGCTCCTGATGCACAAGAGACAAGACACACAGGGTCAGAGAGGAAAAACAGCTCGGTGTTAGATTCTAGTTCACTTAAACTGGACCAACTCTGGTTCACTTGGGGCAAAACGTCTTTATTTGTTGAAACAGGTGAACATGGATCCACCAGAGCAGTCAATATGACAGCTTTGGAAGTATAATTACTCAGTTCATTTTTCAACAACTGAACCAGACTCAGTCCAGTTAAAGTGAACCAGACCAACTAGTCTAAACACACCCCGAACGTCTCTGGTCAATGTCAATGTCAGCTTTATTCGTATAGCACATTTACAACAACACCAGCTGCCAAAAGTGCTTCACATGCACAAAATAAAACAAGTTAAATACACACAAATACTTGAGGGGACCTACATTGATGAGCTGTTGCTGCTCGCTCTCGCTCAGCTCTCCCAGACTGTAGTAGCGTCCGGAGAGCTCTCCCTGGAGGCCAGACAGAGCAGTGACCACCACACGCTCCACCTCGCGCCTCTCTGAGCGGGAGCAGGCCGGCGGCAGACTCAGCCCACGGATACTGCGGCCAGTGCGGACACGGGACGACAGCACGTACCGCTCATCAAACATGCCTGAGGTCAACTGCCGAAAAGAAGGTGAGAGAAAATGAGAAGTTATAGATTCTTTAATGATAATGCTTTGGTTTTATGCAGTGTTATACATTGTTTTTTGGACACTCAAAGACACTTCACGGTGGTAATAATCTATGTAGCCACAGCTGTCCTGGGGCACACTGAGAGAATAGAGGCAACCAGTAGGAGCCCCTCCGACCACCACCAACCATTCACACCAGACTCATTCTAGAGTGGGTGAAATGTCTTGCCTAAGGACACAACAACTGTTTGGTACTTTACAGCTGCAGCCGCCCCACTGTGGCACCTGATGTTCCCAGAGGTCTCCCATCACAGTAGTAACCAGGCCCTATCTGGCTTAGCTTCAGAGGCCGGACGGGATCTGTCTTTCACATGCAGGTATGACCACTTTACGTATTGATCCCCCAAAGGAAAAATTCACGTGTCCAGGTCGAGAATCTGTGTTGTTGAACCCTGGACGACGCTGGTGAACTTAAGTGCCCCTCTTACTAAAAAGTCTGGACACCCCTGCTACAGACGCTTCCAGAACATCAGACCTTGCTTGCGTCCAGGTCCGTGGGGTGCTTCATGGTCTGAGGATCGTAGCCGTTGTGTCTGTCCTTAATGACCGGGTCAAAGAGCTCTTCGAACACCTGTGGGAAAGACACACAAACAATATTTTAACCCCGCCCCTTCTGTCTGAATGCTTCTGTCTCAGTCCAGTAAGAGTGTGATGTCATTGTACCACTATGGCATCATACCCAGAGCACGTTTCTTCTGTTTGTTGCTGTTCCCCAGGAATTAGTTTGTCATTATCTCAAGTGAAAATACGCAGTCACATTTAGTGGTTTCAGCTGATAATTTTAACACAGGTTTCACTGTGTATTTACCACTGAAGATAGTATTTCACATTTTAAAACATGAAATATCATTGTCAAAGTATTCATATCATTTTGAATAAGAATCATATGCATTATATGTCTTCTTTACCACTGGGATTCCCAGAATTATGAAACTAATACAACTCCAAGAGAAGTCATTTTGACAGGTCCCATTCAAATCAATGGAAATCTCAAAATTCCCACAAATAACATGTTTAGTTTTTCACTAGTTTTATTTAAAGAATGATCATGTTTTAGTTGGTAATACATAACAAAACTGGTTAATATAATTTCAAACACAGTAAAACAGTTTGCTATATGAATAAAGATTACATAAATTAAGGGAATTATTTCATTAGTCACAAAATTATTAAGATCATATGTGATGAGTAATCACACTCCCAAAACTAAAAGCCGTCAAATTGACTGCTCTGGGAGATCTGGTGTTTCGTAATGAGACCATAACATCACCGTGGGAACTCATAGAGACTTCACCTCGTAGCTCTCCTCATCTCCTGCCACCATGCCCACGGTCTTGATGAAGGGGTGGCCTGGGTTGTCCACTCCGGTCTGGATGCACTGGTCCAGGCTCCAGTTGTTGGGGGTGACCTTGTCCCGCAGACGTCCGTACATCGCGGGGGTCAGCGCCGACGCCATGCAGTTGTTGTGCTTCCTGAGGTCTGGGTAATCAGCGCTGGTATCAACAACATGGAGGAAGATAAGATAAGGTAAAATAAGAGATAAGATCAACTTTATTGATCGCACAATGGAGTATTTACATGTCAAATTGTGTATGGATTAGGGTTGAAATTATACTTTGTGCAGGATATAACTATGTTCAATAAAAAAAAGTGGCAATAGCAGTGCTGGTTCTTCAGTCCTAGTGCAGGTCATTAAGAGAGAGGACGAGAGTTAAAATCTGTAAATGTCTTCCCTTCTCGTTGACCCAATGAGATACAGAGCCCAAATGAGTTTCCCCCTCACCCTTAGAGCTTCCTTAGAGATAGCTCCCTAAGAGATGGGGTGAGGAGCTCATCCACACGGGAGGAGCCAGTCAAGGTGGCTCTGGCATCTTTTCGGAAGCCTTTCCCTGGGGTACTTTGACTTTGAAGTTTTAAATGTAGTCCCTCTGTTTGTTTCAGATTCAGATCAGATTCATTCTATCTGCCAATCGCACTAAAGCTCCATTGGAATACATGTGCAAAGGTCTCCAGTGTGCACAAGACCAGTATATAAATAAAACAAAGTTAAAAGTCTGGAACCCTGGACTCCCTGGACTTGAGGGCTAGTCCCCAGTTTAAGTTTAGAAGGTGTTAGCCAAAAGTGTAAAGAAGCTAGCACTGCTTAAATACACTGTACACTTTTGCCTTGGTATAAGACCTTCTAAGCCTTAAACAAAAGGCAAGTTTATTTGTATAGCACAATTCATACACAAGGCAACTCAAAGTGAAAGCATTAAAATCATAAATAATCACAGAACATTAAAAAGAAAGAAAAAAATATAAATATAAAATCCCTCAGTTGTATGCACAGCTAAACAGAACCGTTTTTAACCTGGTTTTAAACATTGTCAGAGAGGAGGCCTGTCTCACATCTTCAGGAAGACTGTTCCAGATTTTAGCAGCATGAATCTGAAAAGCCACCCCCCTGACCCAGAAATGGATTAAAGGGTAGAAAATGGATGGATGGATGGATGAATCTGAAAAGCAGCCTCCCCATGTTTAGTTCTGACTCTGGACACTAACAGGAGTCCAGTCCCTGTGCTCCTCAGACTCCGGGCTGGTTCATATGGGACTAACATGTCACTAATATATTTAGGACTCGAGCTGCTGCATTTTGAATGTACTGCAGCTGTTTTACAGCCTGTTTGGACAGACCTGTGAGCAGGCCATTGCAGTAGTCTAACCTACTGGAGACAAATGCATGGATAAGAATCTCCAGGTCTGCTTTAGACACTATGTTTTTGATCCTGGCAATGTTTTTTAGATGGTAAAAAGCTGCTGATGTTACTGATTTGATCCATCCATCCATCCATCCATCCATTTTCTACCCTTTAATCCATTTCTGGGTCAGGGGGGTGGCAATCAGAGATGCCACCCAAATCTCATAGCACCAGCCCCTCACTGATCCTCTGCAGGTGGTGAGTCCACAGGAGCTGAGATCTTCCAGCGGGGGCTTTGGGCAAAGTGGGGTTAAGTGTCTTGCCCAAGGACACAACGACAGCAGTCATCAGTGGGAGTCGGTGGAGAATTGAACCCACAACCTTCTGGCCTTAAGGCCAATGCTCTACCAACTGAGCTACTGTCGCCCCTTTACTGATTTGATGTGGCTATTAAATTTCAAGTCTGAGTCCAGTATTACCCCTAGATTTCTGACCTTGTTTGAAGGTTTTAGGGAGAGAGACTGGAGGTGACAGATGACGCTCTCTCTTTGTTTCTGGGGACCAAAGACAATCATTTCAGTTTTGTCTGCGTTTAGCTGAAGGAAGTTGTTTTGGATACAGTGAAGGAGTGAGTCCACTGGTCCATGTTCTCCTGCAGTCAGTGAGACATAGATCTGAGTGTCGTCTGCATAGTTATGATAGGACACTTCGTTTCTGCGTATTAACTGACCTAACGGCAGCATGTAGAGATTGAACAGAAGAGGTCCCAGAATTGACCCCTGTGGTACTCCACAGGTCAGGGCAATATGATCTGAGACACAGTTTCCAATCTCCACAAAGTACTTCCTGTCTTCAAGGAAAGACCTAAACCAACTTAGGGCGGTGCCAGCGACGCCAACCCAGTCCTCTAGTCTCTGTAAGAGGATCTCATGGTCGACGGTGTCAAAGGCAGCACTTAGATCTAACAAGATTAAGATTGAGACTTGGCCTGCGTCAGTGTTCAGCCGGATATCGTTTGTAACCTTGACGAGAGCAGTCTCAGTGCTGTGGTGGGGTCTAAAGCCGGACTGAAGCATATCAAATGAGTTGTTGATTATAAGAAATCTAGTAAGCTGTAGGTAGACAACTTTTTCAAGGACTTTCCCTATAAATGGCAGATTTGAGATGGGACGATAGTTGTTAAGTACCGTAGCATCCAGACTGCTCTTTTTTAGCAGGGGCCTGATGACTGCAGTTTTCAGGGCCTTTGGGAATATTCCAGAATGAAGGGACATGTTTACTATCTGTGTGAGTGAAGGTAACAGACTGCTCAGAACAGACTTCAGAAATCTAGTGGGTAGTACATCCAGGCTGCATGTGGAGGAGCTCAAACTGGAGATTATCTCTTGGACATTTTTATCATCTACAGGTGCAAAGTGAGTTAGCTCAAAGAGCCTTTCAGGCTGTTGGATTGTTATCTGTGGATTGGAGACAATGGTGTTTTTGATGCCTTGAACCTTGTCATTGAAAAAGTGTGAAAACTCATTGCATTTACGTTTGGAAGTTAGCTCTAATGGCATCTGAACAGGGGGGTTTGTTAATCTATTAACTGTTGAAAATAGAACACGCAGATTGTTACTGCAGCCTTCAATCATTTCAGAAAAATACCTTTCTCTCGTACTACGTAGCACCCCGTTTAACTCGCACAACTTATCCTTAAATATCTTGTAATCAACCTGGAGGTTGGACTTGCGCCACTTCCGCTCGACCCTCCGGCACTTTCTCTTCAGTGCCCTGACCGAGTCTGCTTTAGCCCACGGCGCCTTCTGCTTATTTTTCACTATTTTAACCTTCACAGGGGCAACGGTATCCAGAACATTCAAAACACTAGAGGTGACAGAGTTAAACAGTTCATCTACAGTAGAATACGATGCATTTTCAAAGTTTATCATTCCCATAAATAGTTCACTCGTATTTTCATTTATGTGTCTTCTTCGTACAGTTGCAGAGTCCACTGGTGGTTTGTTAGTGAAACACATGTCAAAAAATACACAGAAATGATCCGAAAGAGCAACATCGACCATGCTTATATTTGAAATATTCACCCCCTTAGTAACTAACAGGTCTAGAGTGTGCCCTCTGCTGTGGGTGGGGCCACTCACGTGCTGAGTGAGACCAAAGGTATCAAGTAAAGAACTCAGCTCTTTTGCATTTCTGTCATCAACATTATCCACATGAATATTAAAATCACCTGTAATAACTAAACTATAAAAATCTGTGCATACAACTGAAAGCAACTCGGTAAAATTATCAATAAAACTGTGACATGACTGCGGTGGCTTGTGTAGGACTATGAAGAGTATTGGAGGAGATGGTTTTTGTTGTATTTTAAAAGACACATATTCAAAAGACGGAAACTTCCCAAGAGACATTCTATGGGAGACAAAGTGGTCTCTGAAAATGGCAGCTAAGCCTCCTCCTTTTTTGTTTTCCCGTATTTCAGATTCAAATTTGAAATTTGGTGGTGATGCTTCTATTAAAACTGCATTTTCTGTATTTTGGTCATTTATGTTCATGTTTCAGCCATGAACATAAGATCAAGATTATGAGAAAAAATAAAATTATTGATTAACCCTTTAAGCGCCAGAGGTTTTTTCCAAAACGCTCAATTTTGACATCTTAATTTCAAAAGGCTATAACTTAAAAGTGATAAGAGATAAAGGCTTTCTGTAAATTAGAAAAATATAAAGGATGGTCCAAAGTTTATGTAGAGAATAAATCCCCCCATCTAATTTGCATATTATGACGTCATTTGGCGTTAGAAATAGTGGATTTTAGAATTTTCATACAATATTTGTATTTTTCTAATTGACAGACATATATTTATCACTAGAACATGAACACACACAGAGCACACACTGTAACATTGTAAATGTTCATGAAAATAGTAAAAAAATATAAATCATGGTGCTGCTGTGAGCAGTCTGCCCAGACGCGCGCGTCACCGCGACCCTGCTGCTGCAGATGTCTCCCCCACTCTCTCTCTCATCTCCCCTGCCCTCTCTCTCGTCTAACACACACAAGACAAGGCCTCTCCAACACATTACTGTCCCGGTGATTACGGGAGGCTTGAAAATAAATATGTGGGAAGCACTTTTAGCGGAGACTTTGGCGGAAACTTCAGCGGAGGCTGGAGGTCGCGGCGCGGCGCCCCGACCCGAGTTCCAGGCTTGTTTTCCGCAAATCTAACCTGTTTCCGAACCTCCCAATGGCTTGGCCTCATAGACGTCGGAACTAGGGGTGCGGGGGGTGCGGCCGCACCCCCTGGTGCGGCCGCACCCCCTCCGCGTGTGCCGGGAGCGAGAAGTTATCACTATCCTGCGTTCCTTGCAGCCCAAAACCCGCTCCATGCTGTCGGAGGTGCTTATGAAGCTCTGTCTGGCTAATATCTGTCGCAGCCTCTGAGCGCTCTTTCTCAGCCTTGCGCAGATTAAAGACCTGGCTACACCAGTGACGTGCGGTGGGGGATCAATCATTTGTTCATATGATTATACATCATATAAACCAACAGGACCTACAGGAACAGGAGCGGCTTATACACAATTTGTTTGGCTACAGCAGAATATGATTTAATGTCTGCATAGTTTTCTCATACAAAACGCAAACGTTTGTAAAAAGTACAAAGTGTGTTATGGGCCTTATACCTTAGGTGTTAATGAACAGCACAGACCACTTCAGTTAGGACCAGTTTCATGTTTAAGTCCAGATAATAGTTTGAGCACAGACATGTAATCCTCCATTTGGAAATAAGTTCAATGAGTTTTAAAAAGTAAAAAAAAACGGGTGTCTCCTCCGTAAACTGCGAGTTTTGCTGCAGCCGACTCCCGGGTAAATCCAATTTCTAAATTCAACCTTACCCTTCACCTCTTTTTCTTATGATTCATATCATCATTGGAAGCAAAACATTACTCTAAGTGCATTTTAAATTATCTTAAAATGTATTATAGGTATGTTAGCCAAACCTGTAGCTGCCCTTAGCAGAAGAAGAACAAGAAAGGAGCTTTCTGATGGAATTGGATGCAGCCAAAGTTTGGGCTCACAAGCGCCCCCTTGAGGCTTTCCTCACTTACAAGCTGTGGTTGAGCGCGATTAAGACCCATATTTGCTTCAAAAACACAATTTATGAGCCATCCTCTTAAATGTAAACATGTTGATTGTAAATTAAATATTTTTGAACTTTTTAAACTGTGATAAACAGAGAAAACAGTTTGATAGCACCTCACAGGACTCTCCCTGTGAGCTGTTGCTTTTTACGTCTCCCAAGAGAGGCTTGCCTCACAGCGCCGCTCTGTCAAATCTGCGATTTCAAGGTATAAATAAATTAAATAAGGCACAGCACAAATCACTTGATAAAGTGACCAAACATTATTGTATCCATTATATTACTTTTCTTTCTATGATCTTAGGTGAGGGCCTTACCTGCCTCATCTGACCGCACGTCACTGGGCTACACAACACAATGAAGCCACCGGAGAGACTGACGCATGAATGCGTATTGAAAAAAAAAAAGTTCAGTTTGATAAGTGACTTGCTTGATATATATTGTTTATTTTTTTTAACAATTAAGATGGTATGTTATTATCCAGTGTAATCCAAGTATGAGTCTCTCCCTCGACTCTCCCAACAAAAACCCGCCCCCCCTCTCAGAAAATAGTTCCGACGTCCATGCTTGGCCTTACTCTGAGAAACACTGTTCCCACTGCAGACCCTGTGCAAAGTGTCTAAAGTTAGTGTTTGGTGCGGTACAACACTTGCAGGCTGCCCCGCAGCTGCATTCGCTTCGCTATGATTTCTGCACTGGTTCAACGCGGTCTTGCTCGAATATTTTGTATGGGAGCATGACGTTTTTTGGGGCCAGGGAGGTAGTCTGACATGTCTGCCAACTAGTGGCAGGGAGTATGAATGAATTTTGACACTCAGTTGGTCACACTCGGCCGTTTTTAACAGTACCGCAGCTTGTCGACTTAAGTCGACCGTGGCGCCTAGAGGGTTAAAAAAGACTTGTTAGAAAGAGATCTGACATTTAGCATAGCAAGTTTCAAAGTTTCAGTGTCAGCGGTTGTGGTCGACTGATTCTTACACGGAACAAGAATTAGATTTTCATGATTAGACTGATTAACTCCAGATATCTTTCTGTAATGTATTCTTTGTGTTATCACTAAGGGAATGGCACAGGTGGCTTCATGACAGGGCCCCAGCCGGGTCTCTCCTCTAGCTAGACTGCCAGTGGCTGCGAAGCAGAGACCCTGTGCATCCTAGGGAGAGGAGATTCATTTTATACATTTATCTCCAGTCTGTCGCTGGGAGTTGGCGGTTCTGTGACGCCTTTTAAAACGACTGTTGTTGTGATACTTGTTATGAAGCAAAACATAAAACTTTGTGACATCCGAACAAACCAAATCTATCTTTCTTCTCTGGCTCTCCTCGCTGGTGTCGTGCCGTTCCTCTGTGACTGACCTGGGCGGGAACATCCTCCTCCTCTCAGCTGCGGTCACTCTGGTCTCTGTGAGTATATATCCAGAGGCCAGACCCAAACCTGCCAGACCCACACTGGCCAGCATCACCGCGCTGCTCCGGCCGGACATCAGGCGACTGATCGGGTTCGCCATGGTCACCTGCGGGAAAGAGGGAGAGAAAAAACACATCATCATGAAAAAAAATTAGAGATGATGAGATGGTAATTTGTCATTCAGCCAACTTCAGCTCCCTCATAGCTAATTTTAAAGCTCTGAACAACTCAAAAGCTGGATGACAATGTTATTTGAGGTTAGCGAGGCAGAAGACCACATACAATGACCAAAGGGCCGAAATTGGCTCTCGGGCCTTAGTTTGGACATGCCTGTTTAAGAGGTAGGATTTCAAGATCTACCTCATTTGGAAATAAAATGATCCTAGGGAAATTAGGGAAATAAATATATCTACAGTGGCTTAAGTATGCTGTAATACTGTTAAATTAAACATACTTTGCATTTTGGGCTGATACTAAAAATACTGTAATGTGTTTTGTATATAATGTGAAAAATTCTGTCCAGCTGCGCTTTTTAATGAACTGTAATTATGTATGATATAAATGCCTATAAATGTACAGACTATGCTATACAAATACCCTTGCCTTTGCCTTGGCTAGTTCTATATTTCTATGATTTTGAAAGTAGTAGAAGTAAGAGTTTCTTAGTTTCTCACCCAACAAATTCCAAGCCAATTTAGCGCGGTATAAAATATGGACAAAAAAAAAAGCATTCTGGGTTGTGTACCAATAGATTATAAAACCTTTGGCCACTATTGCAAATTGAAATTACAGACAATTAATAGTGACACTAAAATACTATTATGTACCGCTCAAACAGTTATAGAAGTTGCTAGAGTCTGTATTCACTGTGGGACCCAGTGTATACAGAGGCATCACTCACCTGTTTGCAGACTGAGGATCCACTGAAGGAGCTCAGAGAGAGACCAGAGGCATGCGGAGGATTAGCTATCACCATAGTCTCAATCCTCTTTGTCGCATCACTCTTCCTCTCCCCATGGAATAACGTCCTCATACAGTCAGGCTGCAGCTCCTGTCCGGGAATACTGTGACAGCTGGGGAACTAAACTTTTAATTAAACTACACTGCAAAAAATACTTATATCATGAGGTGATAATTGCTAAAATCAGGTCGTATTTTTTATTATTTTTTATCTTAATCGGAGTTCATTCTGACTGTGTTAAAACAAGAATCTCCAATGGGAAAAAGCCATTTAGTCTTATTTAAAGAACTGTTGCTTTATTGTCTCATTCCAAGGGAGACATTTCTTGTATCTTTTTAAAACAAGATCATTTTGCATTGTCCTGTTGTGGAATTTCTAAGGAGTGAAATGCACAATATTAAATATAAAATAAATAACAAGAGCTGTAATTCAAATCAAAGTGTGGTTTATTATCTCAGTAAATGTATACATATACAGGAAATACAACCGTGTAACCGCGTGGCAGGTCCCGGGTAGATCTGCTGAATAGTGCTCATTCTCTCTCATATTTATAGGATGGAACAAACAGAAGAGTCTATCTATGGCGTCTCTGAGTCCGAGATTAAGTGGAAGCTATTGCCCAAACCCCCCTCTCTTCTGACGTCTTACTCTGATAGACTCTGATATTACTCTGATATTAGGAAGAATTGTCAGTAGGACCGGTGAGCCCGCTCTTCTTGCCCCTGATATCAATCTCGTATCTGCCTCCACCCCGTCATTGGCCTCGCGTCCCTACAGAACAACAGTTTAGTTAGTTTCAACAGATTTACTGGCTTTGAACTTTGTCCCAGATATCCCATTTCATCATTAGATTTATTCTTAAGTTAAATTGATTTATAATCCCAGTAAGATTTCTATAACAGTCCCATTGGCAAATCATGCTCAAATTAAGATATGTTTAGCCAATTTTGTTCTATCACTACCCACAGCCTATTGGCAATGTAAAGCATGATATCAAACTTCTCTATCTACAGGTGTCCTTTTATTTTGTATCATTTAATTTTACAAATTTTAAGATTATTAAAAAGCAAAATACCAACACACACACAGGGAGTGCCTGGCCCCTCCCTCTGCTCTCATAAGTTTGTAAGTAAGTAAGTAAGTAATCTTTTATTTATATACCGCCTTTTCACTGCAGATCTGAGTCTCAAAGCGGTTTACAATTGTTAATTTTGGGCATTTGTCTTTCACTCCACATAGAGATGGGAGTGAGGTCGCCATTACAGGAGGCACATGCCAGAACTATTGGACATATTTTTAGTGGTAGGGGAAACCGGAGTACCCGGAGGAAACCTACGCAGACACGGGGAGAACATGCAAACTCCCCTCAGAAAGGCCCTGGTAGGACCGGGATTCGAACCCAGGACCTTCTTGCTGAGAGGCAAGAGTGCTATCCACTCAGGTGGCTCTGTGTTTGTGCAGAGTTCATTGTTGTGAAGCAGCAGCGATGGCGCAGACAGAGTTGTTCCTGTGTCCTGTGTGTTTGGATTCACTGCAGACTCCTGTGACTCTTCCCTGTGGACACAACTACTGCCTGAAGTGTATCCAGGACCACTGGGACACCGAGGAGGAGCAGCAGCTCTACACCTGTCCTGAGTGTTATGTGAACTTCACCCCGAGGCCTGTGCTGACTAAGAACATCCTGTTAGAAGCTCTACTGGATCAGAGGAGGACAGCGCCCCCTGCTGTCCTCTGTGCTGGGCCTGCAGCGCCCCCTGCTGACCCTCAGGACCTCTGTGGGCCTCAGGACGTGTCCTGTGATGTTTGTTCAGACAGGAAGCTGAGAGCGGTCAAGTCCTGTCTGCAGTGTTTGGCCTCCTACTGTGAGCGCCACCCAGGGCTGGACTGGCCATCGGGTGTACTGGGCAATGCCCAGGGCTGGACTGGCCATCGGGCGTACCGGGCAATGCCCGAAGGGCCGATGCCCATATTTGGGCCGGTCTGTCTGCCACATACAAAAAAACATGTTTGTGAAAAGTGTAAATCCGTTGAGAAATGTCTGTGAGGAGCGCGCGTGTCCGCGGAGCACCTGCTGCATGTACTTGAACGGGATTCCACCACCTCAGCGGCCGCAGTGTTCCCGCATCCAGCGGCTCTGAGCTGGACGCAGGAACCGCTCACCGGGAACCGCTCACAACACAACACGGCGAGCGCGTAGCCGCAACGTGACCATATACCCAAGACCATAAACGCGCACAGGACCATGCGTGTCTTTTCGTAATTTGTGCACCCAATAAATACACCGCTGCAGAAAACAGTCCGCGTCTCCCCTCTCCTCAAAATTAAAGCTCGGGTACCTAAATTTTCCATTGCATTAAAAGTTCATGTTTGAGCCCAAAAGTAAAATGTTGTGAACAGATTAAACAGATTTAGAGCCAGCCAATGGCTGACAATATGCATTTCAGATATTTTTGACCAATTCTCATCCCTGTAACAAACAATAGTATTGTCTGCGTCCACCTCCCTCACTCTGAGACATGTTTATTACTCTGTTTAATGTAGACTTTTGTACTGTATTTTATTGTTCAAACTGCAGACATCCTGATCCTCTACAGTATTTGCTTCCACATACTGTATAAACCAGGGGTCAACCTTTAGTGCCCCTAAAGTGGCTCCTGGAGCCTTTTCAAAAATGTCTGAAAATGGAGTGTGAGGGCTATATTTTCAATGTGGTTTCTGTAGGAGGAAAAACATTCTTAACGTTTTTCAATGCTGCAAAAACTTGTATAAGTAATATTACATTTTAGCATTTCTGTACGTAGTGCGTCATATCCTGTGACGCGGCCCGTGCCAGGCGGCTGCTGCTGTAAACAAACCGGCGTGTGTGCATTATAGACTGTGTGTGTGCATGGATCCCAAAGATACAGAGAGAAAGAGTCGATAAGACTGGACTAAGAATGAGAATGAACTTTTGCTTTCAGTCAATGAGGAAGGACTGCTTCATGTTTGCGATGTAATGAAAACAATAATGAACAATGAAGCTTTAAACACCGTTCACTGAAAGATTCATTCATCATAAAGTCAGAGCACCTATTTTCAGACTTCAAAAACCTCCACAGAGACGGTGAAAGAAAAGGCCATTAAGGACATTCAGCTCCAGCAAACTTCAGCCTGTGATGTGATCAATATGAACAGACAGTGATGCAGGTGAACTGAGCCAAAAAGCAGATGTATTTACTGTATTTGTACAATTGCATGAAGGCAAAAAAAGTTAAACTTAAAGCAGAGTTGTCACGTGGTGCGTCATTCTCTCCAGGACACGCTGCAATGAAAATACACATTTGATAATCATGAATGGTTTTTATGTGTTTGTAGCCTTTACTTTGTCATTTAGATATTAGTCTAATATAGCTAATATAGCTAATATAGCTAATGTAGCTAAGGTAGCTAATGTAGCTAATGTAGCTAATACAGCTTCAGACCCTGTTACCTTCATATAAGCCTTATACAACGCTGTTTTTTTTTTTTTTTGTCAAATATGGCTCCTTGAACCTTTTGAGTTGCCTGGGCCGCTAAAAAGGAAAAAATGCCCGGGCCGTTTTTTTGTCCCAGTCCAGCCCTGGCAATGCCTGAAGGGCCGATGCCCATATTTGGGCCGGTCCTCATTCAAAAAACCTGTTTGTGACAAGTGTAAATCCGTTGAAAATTTTTTCGAGAGGGGCACCTGCTGTAATTACTCAAACGGGATTCCGCCGCCTCAGCGGCTGCAGTGTTCCCGGGCAGCTGCGGCCACTTTGTAATGAGCGGCTCCCGCATCCAGCGGCTCTGAGCTGGACGCGGTAACCACTCACAACACAACACGGTGAGCACGTAGACCATTTAAGACCATAAACGCTCACAGGACCATGCGGGTGTGATCCGGCATTAGTACCCCTTTTTATCTGCTAAGAAAATCGACACGTTACATTTCTGTGTTACTATACTTTGTAGTGTAACACGTCACGTTAACTGTGTTTAAATCGGGAACACGTGGAAGAGTTTGGTATTTTTTATTTATTATTTATGTGTTTATTTGACAGGGACATTGCACAATAAATGTATTGTTCAGACCGGATATAGCTACAAGCTAATTTTCATCCGTAGTCCCTGAGGCAGAGGCAACGTGACAGCAGGTTTACAGTGTGCAAAGAATTGATAAATAGAAAGAATGAATGGCCTAATTAAAATACAGATAAAATACAACACCTCTAAATCACACAGACACAATTCAATACATACAAAATATACATCACACAATTATTTACATCTGACTAATGACTACAGACTTGATTCTCTTTGAGCCAGTTTTTTAGGCTGAGTTTAAACTGTCCTAGTGAGTTACTCTCCCGCACAGACAGAGGTAGTGAGTTCCAGGCCCACACAGACAGAGGTAGTGAGTTCCAGGCCCACACAGACAGAGGTAGTGAGTTCCAGGCCCTCACAGACAAAGGTAGTGAGTTCCAGGCCCTCACAGACAGAGGTAGTGAGTTCCAGGCCCTCCCATACAGAGGTAGAGAGTTCCAGGCCCTCACAGACAGAGGTAGTGAGTTCCAGGCCCTCACAGACAGAGGTAGTGAGTTCCAGGCCCTCACAGACAGAGGTAGTGAGTTCCAGGCCCTCACAGACAGAGGTAGTGAGTTCCAGTTCACTGCTGCTTTGACAGAGAAACAGTTCTGACCAAAGGAGGAGGACCTAAAGTTCACATAACAGTCTCCCCTGGATGTGGCTCTGGTGGATCTGGTTCTCACCTCCTCACACCTTTTCACAAATGAATTTAGTGGTGGGGGTGCCAAATTTTGGAAAATTGTATATATAAGACAGATATTTGCAAACTGGATCACACTCTCAAATGTAAATGATTTATATGTCTATAACAATTTTGTAATGATGATGTGACCTCTAAAATCTTTAGAGCTTGTTTGTATAAACTCAGAAGAGGTTGCCTTGCTGAGTCTGGAGCCAATGACCAGGATGTGCAACAATAAGTGAATTGGTCC